TCACCTAGGTGGGGTCAACACAACATGTGAGCCATGTTGTTAGTGGTTTTGGCTAAGTTTTTTTTTTACAACCGGCCGCCTGCCTGACGTCCTTGGGAACAAACACCCAGATCTGGAACAATTATCTGTGGGTCACACAAATACTTGTCCCGTGTGGGAACCGAATAGAGTCATTGTATTAACAAAAAACATGAGTTCAACGAAAAAAATGTGGGTCGGAAAAATGTAACAAGAAAGTATTTTAAGAACTAAAACTTTGTTGGATAGTTTTTCTAAAGCTGCGCACTATAACAGTTGATATCTGACATTGGCTAAGTAGGTAACCACGTTAGTGCAAATCTTTATTGTATTCTAGGAGGGAACTATAAAAAAAATATATAATAGATTACATCAGGGCCCACAGAATATAATCGACGTTCTAAATCACGATCCCATGACCAACGGTTTTCGGGATTTACACGAATGATTGATTCTATTCGGCATAAATCCAAGTTAGACCTTCCAACCTTTGACATCTTGGGACCCCCAAGCTTTAAAAAAGTTCCGAAACAATCTTGAGATTTGAAAGTTCGTAAAAAATGGAAGAAAACCTTGCTTTTGTTGCGAGGTTTTCAAAGTTCAATGTTATATAAATAAATAATAGTTTAAATAAAACTGAAAAACTGATTTTCGTAGAAAACCGAACTAAAAAGTGGAAAATAATTAGATTAAGAATAAAAAATATTGTAGTAAAGCGAGAGGTGCTTGGAGTACTAATGATAGTTTATACACTGTACTCGTAAAAGTAGAGTCATAAAAGAAATATCTTAAAAAACACCCCACGCTTTTCTGCAATAAAACTGGTGAAACAAAAATAATTGTGTTAAAAAGAGGTCGTTTGCACTAGATGCGCCAAACATTGCTTAAAATGCAATAAAAACAAAGTACCTACATAAATACATTGATATTTTCGTCGGTGTGAAGATAGCCGTTTGGCTCAGTGGCTAGAGTAACCGGAATCCCAATTCAAACCTTCGTTGAAAAACTTTTCGTACAAATTTCCTCTTAAGTGTACATAACAATAGCACTTCCAATTGAAACCTACGTAGCCGTGAAAAACTTTTCGTCCTTTTTTCTACAAATTTCATCTTAAGTGTACATAATAATAGCACTTTAAAAATTAGTATCGTTTGAAAATCTTGACATTATCAAAGAGCGGTTTCTCGGAAACGAAAAGTGGTTATCGTTCACCTCGAGCATTAATATCGCAGCCGCCACAAAAACCCGAAAGTCAGAAATGACCCGTCCCTCAAAACGCTTTTTGTTTCCCCCGGGCGTCTTTCGAAACTTGTTTGACTTACGCTCGGTTTTTTTTTTTAACAGGAATGCGCATACTTGCCTTTCACCCATACTTTCCTCGAACCTTTAAGAGGAAAAAATGCGTAACGGATGCGTTATAGCCTGTTCCGAAGGTTTTTTCCATGGCATGCCTTGGAATTATTTACGTCGTCATGAAATTACATCAGTATAATATTGTAACGCAGAGCACAAAATAATTTTTAATTATTAGAAAGAAAGCACAGTTTCATATTACGAGTAAGAAACGAAATCTTATTAGAAATACGTTCAGGGACCCGAAGCATGGAGAAAACACAAAACACCGTTTATCGAAACAACTAATTTTATGCTGGACAAAATTGCGTCTGAATATCGAACATAGAACCTGAAGCTCTTTGGTCCGAGCGTGACAAATACTTCAAAAGTAGGTAAAAAGTAGGTTTTTTAAAATATGTACACAGGTAATTGGAGTTTTCCCTTATAAAAGTAAAATTATAATTTCATATAAAATTTTTCTCATTCAATTTCACAACCCAAATCCGGAATCATTACTTTCACTCCATAATGAAATGAATTACATAACATAATAATTAATTAAACTCCATATTACTATCTTCAATGACTATTGATTGTCAATCATGCCTTTGAACGACATAGATGTACTAATACCGACATCTATTCGAAATCACCACGCCAAAATATATCAACGCCATCAAAGATAAGATGACTAAATTTAGCCGCGTCGAGAGAAATATCAACATTGATACGAACTTCGCAAATATCTTGAATAAAAATGCTATAGGCACTGTTACGTTATTCGACGAATAAATTTTCGAATGAATCAACAAAACGCCTGGCATTTTTCAATCGATGTGCGGACGTAATCGATTGTGCCAAATCGGATTCAAGGACGAGGCGAGCGAGCGGCATAAAGTCTATTTTCGCGCGCAGTATTTAAGACGTAAATACGCTTGACAAATAGGCGAACCACGGCGACGGTCAGCGGGCGACCACGTGCTAGGCACATCACGAATATCGTCAAATAGTCGATGATAATTATTCGATAATAAAAAAATATCTATTTAAATAAAAATGAATGTTGGTAAGCGCATAACTCAAGAATGGCTGGACCAATTCGGCCAATTAATTTTTTTGGTATGTTCCTTAAGCTCCACGGAAGGTATTAATACTATAAACAAAATCGCGTGGACAATTGTAAAAACAATACTTTTATTCTTCAACCTTTTTACAGAACGAAGTTTGTCCGGGCAGCTAGTATATCAATGAAGATAATTGCATCAGTAATTATTTTTTCTAAATGATACCACATAGAAATTACCATTTTTAGTTTACTCTTAACTCAAACGTAGAGTCCTATTTCTAAGTGAAGAGCTGCTCTATAAGAGTTCATCGTTTTTAGCGTGGGTAGCGTAAGCCTTCATTTAATTGTCATTATAACATTAAAGAACCAAGAATATAGGTAAACAAGAGAAACCAATACAGTGCAAGATAAAGACTAGTCACAAAGGTAGAGTCGAGTTGTTATGTAATTTTTGGAATACAACAATATACAATTTAACTACTGCAGATAATAGAATTGATAGAGCAAATATTTTTTTGGATTCATTCATTACATTTAAAGTTATAATAATAATTATAATTAATAAAATATGTGACATGCTTATATATTTATCTAATACGCGAGTTTCATAAACACATTGTATATTTAGGCTTCACCTATTGTAACTATAGATTTATTAGTTCATTAACTATAGATTTATTGCGATGCATGTATAGCGGCATAACTAATAAAACACAATAAAAGGTTCTGGTTCTTCTGTTTAATATTTAATTCAAGATTTATAGGAATGCGAACATACAAGAAATATATAGCCTAGTAGCCTAGCTTAGGGTTCCTTGAAAAGCGACAAGTTGCTCTCGCAGAAATGGTAGTCGATGTGATATAATTACCCTGTTTTACTGGCGACCTACTTTTGATTTTATTTATTCAGAAGAAGTAAATTCGTCTTCACAGACGTGCACTAACGTCGCCTTTGTATTTATAACAGATTATTTTGCCAAGATAATAAATTTAGCGGATTACATCAATAAAGAGCACAACCAGTTTTCTAACTCTGACTTAAAAAAATTGGCGCTTGGATGAAACAAGGCTTACTAATGAATGAGCTAATAGCAACTTTTATTATAAATCTTTATAGAAAACAGGTATACATACAATAATTATTTTGAAAATAATCTAATTAGAATACATAAATTAATAGAGATCATAATTTTATAATACTATCTTTCTCTATGTCTTGGCAAGAGTAGTTTATTTCATTTTTAAAACATGAGTAATTCACGATATAAAAATTTTAACCATGCTTATTTAATTTTAAAACATTTTACCTTTTCTCCGTCCGAAAGGTCCACAAAAAGAATTCCCTTTGCCAATAATATTATCATCTATGTATCTGATTAATTTCGCGACATCTTCGGACTTGTGCCCACGGGAAACGCTCCCCCATCTCGAAGGCAAATCTTCTTGCATGGATTCAGATTTTCCTTTTGTTCCTCTAGATTTTTTCAAAACACTCGTCATGGTAAAAATCACATCACCAAAATACTACATTAAATTATCACACTATAATGTTGAAAACACAATTTCTCTTTCAAGAATGTTACCAGTTTTTTGAGGAAATTTGACGGGCAAAAATGTTCTTTTTTAATGTTTATTTTTTTACGCGCGATAACGCTAACTCGGAACACGTCTACACAAGGTCAACTCGCAGGGGAAATGAAACGCGCCGCTATCGCGACTCACGAGCGCTCTATGTAGCGTAACGTACTACTTTATGCAATTGGTAAGCATCGCGGTAACGGCGCACGTTGCCGCATTCTATGGTGTTGCCACTCATAAAAATTTAAAGCAGTTGGTACAAATTAGGTATCTTGTGTTTGTAAAGATTTTAAAACTTGACATATTTTGTGTCATTTAACTATCAATTTATACAGCGTGTCTTTACCATCGATAAATGAACACACATATAGAGGATAACTTTTTAAAATTGTATTAAACATTTACATTCTTTAAACATCAGAGTTATTAAATTTTCCAAAACAAAGAAGTTTAGAACACCCTTACGTATAAAACTGTAACGTAAATTTCATTTGTAAAAGTCACAAAGCATATGAATGTGTTGAATGAATTTAAAAGAGACAAAACATACTGTTAGAAGGAGAGGCTTGTAATGCGACTGTAACGTAATGTTATTTATATCTGTTATTTTCATACAGCAGTATATATTCTGATTAACTTAATTTATAAAATTCTTTGAGTGCTTCGAATTATTCCTTTCTTTTTGGTTTTTTGTCGTTTTGCACTATTGTCACCATTTACTAACTGTGTAAAATATGAAATAACTTAAACACCCCAGTCACAAAATGGATTTCTACTGGCTTATATACCGTAATACCGTATTAATAATAAATATTGCCCATGTATAAATAAAGATTACATTTAATGTATTATTTTAAAGTACCAAGTAACAAACAGCCTACAATGACATAATTATCAAGTCAAAAGCTGTGAAGGTTTCCTTAGCAACGCACTTTGTTTCTTCAGTTTCCTAATCCATTTTGTTTTCTACGTCATCACCGCTTATTTTAAGCATTTTTTTAAAATGTTGAAGCTACAAATCGCTACTGAACAGGATCGAAAAGAAGCCCAAAACCGGGAGAGGCGACGGCAGTGTGAACTGGAAAGAAGATCCAGAATTTTTAACGCCCGAAACAGGAAAATTGGCGTAAGTAATACTGACAAGTAGAAAAAATCTTTTAGTCTTCTTGTATTAACTGATGTTAAACGCTTTCAGTCCCGAGACTATTAAAGCTTCATTGAATGCAGAACCGGAGGGCTAGCCAGAACTCACGGGCTTGAGGCCTTCCACAGTGGGTAGGGCCGGGCATGTGCTCATGCGTTTAAGGAGTGTCGCCTACGGGCTATGGAGGTTCAGTGCCGACCGTGACCCCGATAGCCGATGACTGTGCTTGGTAATCTTTTAGTACCTCCCCCACAGACTGCCGCGAAGAACGATCTTGATCCACCTGCATCCGACGACTTCCCGCACATTTGCACAGTTGTTTTATTTTTCAATGACACACGGTGGTACATTGGCTTCAGCACCAGGGGTTGTGGGTTTAATTCCCACACGGGACAAGTATTTGTGTGACTAACAGACATTTGTTTCGGATCTGAGTATGTTCATGTGAAATTTTGTACGTGAAAGGTCCTTACAACACAGGATAATGTTATCCTACAGTTGGTACAATATTTTAAATGCATGTTACAAAGTAGTTTACTTATTATTAAGGTTCGAGTGATGTTTATTTAAATCATTGAGCTAAGATTTCTATTAATGTGCAATAAATAAATAGACATAACAGCAGTTTATTGAAGCCGGAAGGTGTCATACTTTGCAGGTGGATGTCCCCTTTTTGGAACGTCAAAGAGAAGAGAAGAGAGCGGAGGTTGAGGAGCAGCGAAGGAAAGATCTAGCGTTCGCGCAGCAGATGATTAAGGACAGCAACCTCGCCGTCGTTCTAGAAGCTAGAGAGCGGGAGGTACTACAACTGTATAGATCAAAACAAGTTTGTTACAGTTGGTATGGCCACGGAACGGCCTTTGCTATCGTTGGTTCGTCAGAAGATCGGCTTCAAGTGGAAGCACTATGCGTTTCGTCTGCTGAGTGAGATTCGTAACCCTACAGGTGTTGCAAATGTTCGTGACTTATATTCACTGGCAGATAGCTAAAGTAATAAGGAGTAACTTAAGCTAAATTCCACGCGGACGAAGTCGCGGGCACAGCTAGTAATGTATAAATGTATAGTTTTGGTTTGACAATCGTACAACGAACCCAAAGCATAACTGGTTTGTAATGCGAATAATCAATAATAAATCGGCGATATCTAAATAATAATTATTTGTCGCGGCCAGCTATTGACCGATCTCTGACTCTTACAAAAGATATCTCATAACTTACCTACAAGGAAACCCGGAAAAAAATGATTTTCGATAGTTCAAAGCCCTGCTCATAGTCGTTATATACGTAGTTAATGGTTGCCTTTGACCTTGTGGCTTGCAACTAGAGTCTGTTTCACACTATCCAAACGCAATAGAGTGGTTACACTTAAGAATGTTTAGATAAAACTGTAGAATTTCTTTTCAGCCGTTACTAGGATTCAAACCTACGCCTTTAGGATTTCGCGTCTAGACGCTCTAGCAACAAAACTAAGCGGTCAAAATCCTCACCGCTCGAATTTTCGACATCTCGAATCTCTCATCATCTTTTATTACATATGTAGCAATTAATGGCGATATCTAATTTTTATTCATTTACAGCAATCACACTTTTACAAAATATATTATTACAATGAATATTTGAAAACTAGAGACGTCGCTTTTACTTCAAGACAAACAAACATCAATTTTTTTTTCTTAATTTTGTTCCTTAAAAAAATCATCTTAACGGCCTTTTATCTAACCTTTATTATTGTTGTTTACTTCTTTTTATTATGTTATATAGTATGAACTCAGCACCAATGCGTTCGCTTTTGTGTTTCGCGTTTGCGTTCGTTTAAAGATATTGGCTGTGGTTACGCTTTATCAGGGTTACAGTTTAGTAATTCCACATAACCCTGTCTCTCCCTGAAGAATAATATTTTAGATATCCCCCAATACCAAAAGCCTGAACAACCAAATCTTATTGTATTGGCATTCCAAGAAGAGACATGTTATTTAGGAGTTTCAGAAAATTTTTTTTCACATAATTTTTAGAAAATAAGGGGGGGAAAAATATGTCGGATCACATCATACAAGTTATCAGATTGCAACTAATGTTGTGTATTTAAATTTGCAACTAATGTTACACGTATCAACCCAAACGTATTTGTTACAAATACGGATCTATTCCACACAATTTAAGGACGAGAATATTGGAACTTTTTGGATTTGCCGTGTACTCTTTGTAAAACAAACCAACGAAAGTGAGCCACGATAGACTGGCAAGAATATTTCGTAACAGGAGCGTCGCCGCATCGAGTTGGAGATCAACGAGTACAGGCAGCGGTACCAGAGGCCAGAAGACCGTCGGGAGTTCGACCTCAACGACCCAGAGGTGCTGAAGAGGCAGTTGCCGCCTCGCGCCACGGATGACCAGCCGGTCGGCATGTCCAGCGCCCAGAAGTAAGCCCTCAATCTTTCGAATGAACATTGTTAGATTCGCCTAATAATTACACGCCTTCAAATCCAATGCAGCACCGGGAACGGGTTTATCTGGTACAGCAATAATACGTTCCCGCCCAAAACAGCACCAGGTTTTTTTCTATGTGAGATAGCGGCAAGCGAGCTGGCGGTTCACCTGATGTTATGTGATTACCTTTCAATAAATTGGGCCCCGTTTACCTCACCAGACGAAACGCAGAAATATTGCTCTTCACGCTTGTTTTCTATGTTACTTTCCCGAACGGACCTGCGCGCTAGTGTAACAGCGAAGACTGTCTCGTGGCCCTACCACAGTTAACTTATTTGAATTTTGCAAAACTAGATAGAAACTCGAACGGACACAGGTCTCGGTGATCTGAAAAGCAGGAATATGTACATTATTACGTTTCTTCCGATGACCGAGGGTACCGGACATTAGCTTCATAATAATATTCAACATATACGTTGGGGTGGGATATTCATCGGCGGTTATTTATGGCGCTTTTTGTTTAATATAAAATCACCAACTTCGACGAAAAAGATCTAAGCGCAGTATTAGGCCCAGAGAACGAATTGTTTGTACTGAGTTGTTTAAGTCATAACATAACTTATTGGTGCACACTTGTAATGATCTTGCGTTGTATGTACTTCGCTATTCGTTACGAAGTAAAACTAATGAACATGAAAACTGTTGAACTTTTTGTAAAGTAACGGCCGTAATCAGACACTATAATTAGCGCATTGCATTTCATTAGCATTGCATTAAAATCTTTTACTAGCCATGTGGAGTTTTTTTATTTGTAAATTTAAACAAATGTTTGTTTATTATAATTTTATGTTATTGAAGTAGTTACAACTTAAAAAATAAAGAGGCCGGTACTTGACATGCTCACGCTTAATCATTATTTCCACATTCTACATTCCAGATTCGAAGGCGAAGATATAAACTATGAAGAGCGAAAGAAGATAATGGCTGCACAGAAGAACGCTTGGTTGGAGCAGCAAGTCCAAGAGCGAAAGGCAGCTGAAGAGGAACGAAGGAAGGCCGAAGAGGCATACATGGTAACCAGCTTTTACGTGTCTCTGACGTGGCGCTTTCCTTGATTTGAATGTTAACCTTTAAGAAATATTAAATAAAAAAAATTTAAATCACGTCTGGGTTCCGTCCCTTACTCGTAATGATCTCGTTCGTTTCTACTCTTACTTTTAGACAGAACACATATACACAAAGGCTTGACAAAGGCTGATAACAATTTTATGATGAGCGTAATTTTTTTCAAATTTATGGCAGTAGTTTTATTGTGCTGTTGTTTTTTTTTTTAGATCGCAATAGTTAGACAAAGTCTTGATCCAAGATTGCAAAATCTAATAGCTACGCGCAGCTTAGGTCGATTTTTCAACATCGCTCAACATTTTTGTTACACTATCGAGACATTCGATGAATTTACGAAGATGTAAAGTATTCAAATATTTCCCGTCAGAATTTTCAACAGATTACAGAACTGCTAACAGCATGTATAAGAACAAAACCCAATGGCTCAACCATAAGGATACACCATCATCAACAAACAAATTTCTCTCAGTGTCCGGGCGCTCACCTTTAATTCAATTTACTCGAGCATCCTGAGTTCGATCCCCGATGCCAGCACCAATAAAATTGTTAATTTGATGTATTACGGAGGATAGAAGATATTCTTATCATCTCTCGATATCGCACAACGAATGTTTTATTAAAATTTTGCATGTCTTTACCACAAAGAAAGACTTCATTTATGTTCATGCCTGTCTAGCTTTCTTTGATGCTACGTCCACCATCTGTCATACTTATGAAATTATAATGCCCGAGAGGGAATGAAAGTGATTTTAGTTCCGAAGGACACGGTGGGTGTTAGTTGCCTTCTTAACGATATCTTCCTCCCGTTTCTATGCGGGACGTTTCCTCAATTCACGAGCAAATCAATCATTACAAATGATTGGCTTCCTTTGAGTTGAGGCAACGGTTCGCCATATTTATTTTTGAAGAGGACAACACTGTTAAAATAAGATAACGTATTATTGAGACATTGGACAATTGATAGGTCATTCTGTCGAAAATACACCAGCCGTTAACCTTACCCTCTTCCCGTAATTATTATTACCGTATGTTATTCTTCCTTTCGCCAACTCTTATCCACTTAGATGAGGACGGCACAAGACGAGAATTATGTTGTTATTGATATTGACTAGGTTTTTTACGACCTGCTTCTCGGCAGAAGTCAACCCTCCAGGAGAACGAACGCCCAGAACCGGGGTCACACAAATTCTTGTACCATGTGGGATTCTAACCTGCTCTGGCTCCAGCGCCGTAGCTCCAGTCTTCGCAACTGCGCCGCTAAATCATATTAATTTAATCATTATGATTATAAATGGTTACCTATCCGCAATATTAGACATACAGTTCAACATTTAACAGCGTCAGTATTCGGTTACCTCACTTAACACATGCAAATGTGTAAATACTCCTACTTTACACTGATCTTCTGCGAGGGTTTGCGACTGCTCCGGATGAGCCAGCCCCGTAATACACACGGCGTGGCAATAGTTTTGTAAACAGTATGGATAAGGTCACCTAAGAGTCTATTATAAACTAGTAGTAATTCAACAACTTCAAATCGAAAGCTAAATTCGTCGTCATCGGTGTTCATAGATTCAACTTTTCTTTGCTTTTTGCTCTCATTATTTGGAAGCGTGGGGTCGCGTGGTGGACTATGCTCTAATACCAACTGTATAGAGGAGGCCTTTGCCCAGCACAGTTACATGTATAGGCTGATACCTTAATTTATACTTAAAAGAGGATGAGGTTGCATATTCGTGGTGTTTGTATTTTAACTTTTACTTTAACTGATGTCTTTGCTATCAGTCCGTAAACTGTTAAAGCAACCTCATCAGACGCAGAACTCGTGGGCTAGATGACCTAATAGCTCGATACGGCCCTCCACGTTAAGTTCAGCCGCGCATGGGAAGAAGCGCGCGTTATCTATGTTGCGTATGTATTTTATGCCGTGACAAAGGCCGGTACAAGCTTATCGTATCGCTAAGCGTATCGCTTTCAGATGGCGATTAAATCGCGCGATGCACGCGCCAGCGAGCTGGATAAGCTGGAGAGGGAATGTCGCTATCGACTGGGACAGGCGAACTTGCGCTACAATGAAGCCTTGGTGAGGCACATGGCTATTTGTATGTGTATTTTGTGTAGCCCTTTCACACCGGCCCGTCGGGGTAAGTACCACGACCTCACAGAAGACCGGCGTAAAGTGGATGTATGACAAATACTTTCGCGTTTCGTCTGGTGAGTGAGGTGGCCGGAGCCCAATTTTCAAAAGGTTGTCAACGCATCTATAATCCTCGGGTATGCCAGATGTCCATGGGCGGCGGTATTGGTATGGGGGCTTCAGGAGAACCGTCTGCTCGTTTGACAACTTTTCGCATAAAAAAAAAACTTTCGTCTTGGGTCCTAAGTGCCAACGACCACTGCGATCTAAAAGATCTTTCTTGTCTTTTTAGTCTTCCCTTCGTAAACGTTGCTCCCTTACAATAGGGTAACATTATCCCGTATCGCAAGGACGTTGAACATATATTTTCACGTGGACGAACACCCAGATCCGAACAAATTATCCGTCGGAAACAGATGGCGCGTGTGGGAATCGAACCCACGACCCCCGGCGCCGAAACCAATACCTTGCAACTATGTCACGGAGTCACATGGCGATTATTTTTATATGAGGTGACATTTCCGCGAACCTGATGGTAAGTAATACATGTAACCATCATGAATCTATTTATTAACTTGCTGAACCCTCGTCTGAAGGATGAATATGGATGTATTATTATATTAAATATATAATTTATATATAAATGTAAATAATATTAGAACATACTTTTACACAACATTCTCTAATCCCAAACTAAGCAACGCTTATACTATGGGTACTAGATAACTGATGAAGATGCTTGAACATACTTTTCCTTTGTCAATAAATACATATTATACATAAATAAAACCCAGACTTTAGAAAAGCACTATGTTCATCACACAATGTTTATCCAGTAGTGGGAATCGAACCCACACCCTCTGGCACAGGAGGCAGGTACACTACTCACTACGCCATTCAGGTCGCCATAGATATATTTTTACGTTACCTAGCCCTAAACTAAGCGAAGCTTGTACTATGGGTAACTAGATACTGATAAACATACTAAGAAAATACTTTTCTTTTGTAAATAAATACATGTTTAATAATATAGAAACACCGACAATAGAGAAACACTTCATCACCCAATAAGTTTCCAGTAGTCGGGATTGAACCCACACCCTCTGACGTAAGAGACGGGTTACTATCCACTACTAAAATCTACATACGTTTGATCACGTATATAGATTACTTATTCCGTTTGACACAGGCGGCGGAAAGTAAGCAGTTGAAGCAGATCATGAAAGAGCAAGAGGAGGCAGACAACACCGCCGAAATGTATAACAACTTGACGTCCGACATGCTCACAGAAAATCCGGACGTCGCCAAAAGCGCGCTGGGCAAGAACAGGTCGGGCACGTGTTTCTAAATGTTAATCAGTGTTACAGAAATCGAGCGTAAGTATTATGCAGCTAATGTCAAATACCTATCGCTAGTAACCAAAGCTATCTGTAGATAGAATATTCAAGCCGGCCGCAAATCAAAGGTTTGTAACGCGGCAGCTAAGCAATCTGCCACATTCGCTAAATGTAGAAACTTTAAATTGACCTTCTGCATTTCTTTTTCAATACTTTAATTTTGTGCTAGGTGTTATTAACCTATCAGGTTTCCTAAAATTTTAAACTAAAAAAGTAAATAATAATAAATAATCATCTTTACATATAAAAGTCAACAACTAGCCGGATTGCTTTGATATTTGTTCACAGTGTTTTATGTACTTTTTATTCCGATGTTCCAAAGTAAACAAAAATAAAAAGCCACAACAAAGGGTTCACAAAAAAGGCGGGGTTCATACATATATACCGTTTTGAAATATTTAATACATATATTCAAGTTCAAAAAAATATTTATTAATATTCAAGTTATTATGCGCGATACTTCATCTATCAGCTATCTTTATGTACTTAGCTTTTTATATGCCATCAAAACACTCAGTCCGAAAGCTTTCAAGCAACGGGTAAAGGTCAAAAAAAAAGAGAGTCAAAGCTTTATGTTTACATATTGGAGCACTGTTGTGAACTTTGGTGTTCTTTCACAATATTCCGCATTCTCGTATTATAAGTATTTCATATTTCTCTTTTATGAAGTCATTTCTCGACCGTGTTTGTATCAAACACCACTACTGTTTCTTTTAAATAAATATAAAAACTGCATATTGCGACTTCGTTTACCTTTCATATATGTTTACTTTTTCGAAAAAAATCTACAGAAATTTAACATTCGAACAACATAGTTAATTAATAACAAATTGACTTTGGAATTGTTAGTTAAATAATATCTCTAATGGTTGAATTTCACGAAACTGATTGTTATGTAATGCAATTAAAATAACGTATGCAATTCGTTCATTCGAACTTCGATGCATTTAATTAATCAATCCATCAGTATATTCTTTTATTTTTAAAGAAAACATGAATGGGTAACAAGAGACTATATAATAAACAAGGCAATGTATTGTGCAAAAGGGGGCTATCGGTCTGAAAGCAATTTCTTCCAGAGAAAAATTGTAATCTGAATTATTTTAACGAGTTTTATTTCAATCCCTTACTTATTTAGTATGCTAGATTAGCTACAGCTTACGCTGCACGAATTGGGCCGCTTGATCTGGAAGCAAAAACTACGGCCTGATACTTTCATCTTTCGCTCAGTTCACAAAATCACAGTAAAATTACAAAAAACCTTAGGGCCACTCAAAGTCCGCGCACTCATAGAATAAAAAAATATTATCAATTTCAGAGCTATCGGCTTCATGTACAAAGGTATGAACCAAGAGGAGTTGAAGAAGTTTTACGCGGGTCAGAAAGAACAGATGGCTGCTAACAAGGTGGGCGTTATAACAATAACACTAACAACGTATCTTATCCTGAAGGAATGAATTTTCCCGATTGTCGAGAAATGGAATCGGGGAAAGAATTTTTTTGTGAAACGTACCTACATTCGTATCGCTGAATTTGATAGCCAAGTTGTCAAAAGATTTATAACAATTATTGAAAACAATGATTATTTTAGACACATGTCATCCCATACTGTAAATAACCAGCTAGCTTGTCACTTTACAAATCAAACTACAAGTATAATTTTCAACAAAAAAAAAACCGACTTCAAACCGGAAACTAAAAAAAATTGTTGATAACTGTAACATTTGAGGATTGCCCTTGATTTCTCTAGGATGCCATCATCAGATCCCGGTTTCCTTATAATGGTACCACCGTTGGGATATATCCTTTCCGACAAAAAAATAAACATCAAAATCGGTTCATAAACGACGAAGTTCGCGAACGAACGAAACGCGAACACACATAAAAATATATATATATATATATTACCGTATATATATATATATATATATATATATATATATATATATATATACATACGGTCGAATTGAGAAACCTCCTTCTTTTTTGAAGTCGGTTAAAAAAGTAAATCTTCAAAAGATTTATTATTTTAATCCGCGTAGAAGTAATTTTTTATCACAATTTTTTTATTTAAAAAAAGTTATAAACTCGTCCCCTGAGTTATAATAATGCGGGGATCATTCGACTCAATTGGTCAATGTGATACTTTCTTTCAGGCGAAAAGGGATGCCGAGGACAAAATGGAAGCGGAATGGCAGGCTCTATCAAAGTCCATACAGTACGAAGTTGCTCGTCAGGACATTCAAGACAGAAGGCTGCGTAGGTTTGTATCTGAAGTGTATAAAGTTGATGTATGACTTCGTAAAAACAAAGAAAAACCAAAAATGGCTGTTACTCCTATGGGTTCGTTTATGTTAAAAACTGGCAAGTGATTATTTTTCTCAACAATTTTAGTGATGTAACAAATACAATTCTTTTTGTACATTATACGTACAAAAGTTGTATCGATGAAATGTAGTTACTATTATACACATTTATTTAAACACATTAAACTCTTTTTGACTATTGAAAAACATATAAATAAAATATCGGTCGATTTAAACATTGATGTTATTTTTAGTTTCTCGTAAAAAATGTTTTCTTTTTACAGAGAGTTGGCTAAACAACTAATGGAAGAAAACCAACTGTTGGCGATGCAGCAAAAGGAAAAGGAGAAGTACTTCAACGAAGTTGTCTATAACAACATGCCGACTGACGAATATTATGCCCAATTTAATACGACCACCAGATAAAAACTATTAAATGAAGATAAATTTATAATTCGTAGCATACACTAATGTTTTATTTTGTTAACAATGCTTGCATGCAAATTTAAAATTCAAAATTGGCATAATTTGCTTCTGTATAAATTCCACTTGAGTGTTAAGTTGCGTTTTTGACTGCTATTGTGTTTAATAAAAATGGTCCATTGTTATCTTTATTTTTATTTAATTTGATAAGCTTAAAATTCATTTGGCCATTATGGGACAGCTGGCATTTATAAAAGATCTTAGTGAATATTAAAATAATGAATAAAAAGCAAAACCAATAAAAATGTAGAATAAATTAATAAAAGTGGCGGTCGGCCGGCGGTAGAACCGATATCCGATGGGGAAGAAAGGTCCCTTAGTGGCAGCCTCGTAATGGCCATCGCAGTGTAGAACGGTCCCCTAGTAGATGGAGTGGCGACCTGTACACATGTGCGGGAAAGTCGTTGGATGCAGGTAACTATGATAGTACTTCGTGATTATAAGTGGGGGAGGCATATGGCGTTCGGAAATATGACAGACTAAAAGTATGATGATGAGAGCTTTTTTAATTAACAGAATATATACATTCATAAATATAGATATCGGATATATATAGTAATCAATTCACATGTAGAAGCATCGGAATGTCTATTATGCGCACGCTCACAAGCAAGGGAGTCAAGAACGGCGGCGTCGATAGAAGACATGATGGCATGAGTGCGTCATGCCTTTCGTCGTCACGTCATACGGTTGAATTTTAGTTCCAAGGAGCGCCAATAGATTAATTTTATATATATTTTTTTTAAGAACAGTCTTTTATTTTCTCTAAGACTGACATATATAGACCAAATACCTTTAGACTAGTCACCGTCCGTGTTAAAAAGCCCCATTGCAAAACGTCCCAAAACGGTAAAATGTCCTACAATAATTGCGTTTAGATATATTTTATAATTACAGTAGAGACCTGAGTTCACATCTTTCGAAGCAAAGTTATCTTTTACAGACCACCAATTTTATTTAAAAAAAAACATGAAAAAAATTTTAGTCTTTTGGACTAACCAACATCAAATCATCACTGGACCTTTAGGTAATAAAAAACAAAATTGAAGAAAAATATTTATTTAAGATGAAACATCGACATACAATTATACTTTAAATGTTAATAACGACTAGAAAATACTCAATTCGCAAATCTTATTTGCAATAAATACTTTACAAGCTTGGCACCATGTGAGATCGAAACGAAGTAAATATTGGTTATTTCCTACGAAAATTCCAAGAAGAAGATTGCAACTAAGCCCCACTGTATAATTATATTGGCACTGCCAAATATCTATTCTTTTTCTTTTTCAGTCAATTTACCGCCGCTTATGAGACCCTTTCTCTCCAAGTTTATAATTGAGTCTGCTATGATCTTAGCAGTCTTCCGAAGATATCCACCACTGGTCAGCATAACAATTGGAATGTTGTTTACTTTGCACTGTTCGAAAACGAATTCATCCCTTCTGATGATACCCTGGAAAGTAAGAGTTTTAATAAAACTTGAGTAAAATTAATCAATATTAGTTGGACTCGTGCAAAGTTTTGTATATTACCGTGATCAGTCACGTAATGGTAATATAATAATGTGTCAATAAGTACTTATCAATTAAAGGTATCTTATTGTGAAGAACAGTCTATTTCGCTATCACTCATTTAAAAAAAATGGCAAAAGATGGCACTATACAGGGTGGCTTTTTGAAAGGCGCCCATATTCACACAGGATGCCTCCTGACTCAAGCTGACTGAAGCTCAGACTTGGTAGTATAATCGTTTATTGAAATAAAAACAAACTTTTTATATTTTTTTTTAAATTTTCATTCCATTCCCTAAATAAAAAAACAGAACTTGTTGACAATGCGGTAGTCATTCATAAATGCGTCGTATACTTTTGAAACGAACTTTTGTGCGTGTTAGTTTTGAATGATAATGAATGAAAATGAAATAAATCTGCACATAAATCATGCATTTTTTGAGATAAGTTAAAAATTAATGTAATTAATTAATTACGAGTGATTTTAAATATTTATCATTTTTTATATAACATTATTTATGTCTAGAATTTAATTTAAAAAATGGATACACTTGGAAAAGCCTCCCTGTATGTAGATCTGGCATTCATTCTTTTTATGCTAATTATAAACACAACTTTTTTTTAACTTTTGTCCTTTTATTTTTCATCAAAGACGGTTGAATCATCAGATTCAATCAGAAGTTTTGGCATGTAGACAAAAAACCCTTGGAGAAATAATATAAAGATGACACATGTTGCAAAGCTTTTTACATACACCATTAATTTTACATAAAATTTTGCATGGTGTTTTCAAGTAGTACCTCTCAACTACAGTGTTTTCTACTTATGGGCACTGTATAAAGTTTAATAGCTGTGACATCTAATTTTGTAGAAATTTTATTCATTTTCTGTAACACATTAAAACAATAAAAGTGACAAGTAAATGAGACACTTACGGCCGTTTTCTGAAACACTGATCATTGTAGAAGTTAACTAATCAGCTGTCAAATGGCTTTTCAAATATTATTTGAGTTGCCAAAGGAATTGTTAACTCTCTGAATTGATCATAATGATCTTCTTAATGATTAGAATAGTTAGTGGCTGATATGATGTTGGACTATACCAACATGTTTGGGTATATAACAGTTATAGACAGTATTTTGATCCTACAAAAAGTTTGGAATGTTCTCTATTGTTTTACATTTTCATTCAACTCTGTAATAAAAGACAAACTTACATTCTCACTTATCTTCAAGTGACCAAGAGGATCAGAATCCAATATGTCAGTGCCGGCATTATAAACCAAAATGTCTGGTTTAAAATCATTCAATGCAGCAGTTAAATGCCTGTAAAGACACATTTGCTGCTTTAAGATTGAAAAAGTAAATACATCAAACAATTAAAAGGCCTTTCTTTCTCAAGTAAAAGGCTCTACTTTAGTAGTACTGATAATAAATCCAATCAGAAACAAATTCTCCATATTTTTCAATCAAATTTAAATAAAAACAAAAAAAATTCTAATTTACCATCTACAATGCTTACTTCTGCAGTTTGCTCAAATACTCCTCATCTTCCACATGGTTGTCCAGTTCCACTTTTCTACGGATGGCTTGTTTAGCTTGCCTGTCTTTGGGGTATATGTTACGGTTGTACATGTCCATAATGTACACTTCTGGTACCCCAAGAAAGTCTCTTTGATAACCATTACCCTGTGGTTATAAAAAAAAAGCTTATTTGATACTGTTCCAAAGGAAATGGTCTGTCTGTAAGTTGATTTTAATATTATTGCTTTTGTGCATTGGATAAAGAGTAATAATCTATTGAAATTTAAAAGTGTCCGACCGAATGTTCGTTTTCGGTTTCGGTCGAGTTACGACAAAAAAACTAGTTTCGGTTTAGTTTCGGTTTCAACGCCAAACCTGCCGCAACTACGACCGAAACACAAACTGCATTCGGGAGTTCTCGCGCTATGATCGGTTATGATCAGCGCGCTAAATTCCATCCATGCACGCTAGCCAAGACTAGCGATGGGTCGTTGAAGATTTTTTTCGTCAACGTTGATTCATGTTCGTCAATGTGATGCTGTCAATTTCGATGAATGACCGGATTTTATTAGACGCTGCGACGTTCAACGAGTCTAAATCGTCTGACAGTTGACTAATTAATACAAACACTTTATACAATTAAAAATTAATAAATTTACAAAAAAAGAAACCTTAAGCATCAAGTAAAATTCTGATAATATTTATGATAAGCTGCAAAATAATATCTGTCCTTACGTGCAACTGTCCACAAATTGTCACACAAAAATTTAAGGAAGCGAAACTTCTTTGAGAATAGTGGCTCTGATATTATTGTCGGCTTTTACATTTTTGTTTTTGTTTACTGAAAGTCATAGAAAATGACTAATAAGTTTAGAAGAAGTTAATTTGTTCTTAAGATAAAATTAATTTATTTTGTTTTGTTTATTACATAAACAGGTAGCCTGTTCTGATATTAGGTAACAACTTAAATAGATAGAATTTTATATTTCATATTTAAAATAATCATGAATAATGTTCAAAAGAAGAATGAAACTACTAAAATAAACCTATATTAAGTCACCTATTTTGTCTTTTTAAGGCGCAATTAATATTTTTTTCTTAAATGGTTGTTAGGTTGATTGTCATACCAATAAGTGAAAATGTCGAAGACTGCATAACTATATGATACAAAGATACTTATTTTTCCCTCAAAACATGATCCTTTTATAGAAGTTTCGGCCGAAACTGAGACTGTTGCCGAAATTCGGTTTCGGTCGTAAAAACCAGTTTCGGTCGGACACTAATATTTAATTAAAATCAGAAAGAATGCATATGTACTCTTCTCTAATCTTATTTCTGTTCAAAAGAATCTATTATGGGTGTTATTGTGAATCATACCTGATGTGCATCTAAATCAACAATCATAGCATTCTGTATCTTCTGATTTTCTACTAGAAAGCGAACAAGTAAAGTTATATCAGCATAGGGGCAAAAGCCTCCGCCTCGGTCAGAACTGCAATGATGAAACCCACCACCTACATTTATTGCCCATCCTCGTTCCAAAGCCAATTTTCCAGCAAGAACTGAGCCACCTGTTTGTAATCTATGAAAACAATTAAGAGATATTTTCATGTAAATACAATTATATAAATACTAAATATTACTACTTTTTACACTTTCACTACAAGCCAGGATATATTAAACAATTAATTATTATTTTATTGGGAACAAATTTTCGAACAAAAAGCAAATAAACTTTAATGAAAAGGCATTTGCTGACCTAGGAACTAATTTAATAACTTTATGCTACCAACCTCATAGGCTTTAGGTAGGCATATTGCACTAGGATATTTGGCAAACATGCAATTACTGGCACTTCCGCAATAATGGCTACTTTTGGGCTCCACTGCAATTACCAAAAGTTTATTTTTAACATAAACAATATTTTTTAATAGGCTTATGAATATTAAGATGGTTCTGGATATCTGGATCTAAAGTTGTGTTAGCTCATTGTCAAATGAAATTAATATTTTAAGTGCTGATTTATCACTTGCTCAGCGGAGGGAGAAAACATCATGAGGAAACTCTCATATTTTTGAAATCATAATAAAAAATATTTTGAAGACATGAAATCTGTGAATCCGCAGTGAGGTCACCTATGCCCTAATACCTCCTGAACAGAGGAGGCCTTTGTCCAGCAATGGGACATGTATAGGCTGATACTTTACTTTTTCTGCATCTTAATACAAGTTAAATTCCAAGTACGAAAAAAAACAATTCCTTGCAGTACCTTAAGTGATCTCAGGTATTTTTTAGTGTGAACAACCAATAGATCTTCTTTCTTAGCTTCCAAAGGCTGAACCAAACATTCTTTTGTAATTAAGCTAGCATCTTGTAAATGCTGAAAATGTAGTTAATTTCAATTGTGAAATACAGTAGACAATTTTAATAATCATAGCTAAATTCTACAGCTTTCAATTGTTTTATAAAATACATTTGTTTCAAATAGCATACCCGAATAATATTGCGCCATTTCTTCGCATCGAATATATGAAATTTCTCAAGGCCCATAAAAGACACATTATATTTTTCATCATAAATAAGAGGCCACTGATCTTCTCTAATATCAAAATAAAGGCTAAAACAAAAAATTGCCGGTTTAACAAATTAATCTTTACATTTTTTAACACCCTGAATATTATACAAGAGAAATAACTCATACCTAGTCATTTTTTAAATATACTACTTAGCGTACACCATTATTGAGGAGAAAATACAAGACCTTACTTTTAAATATATTTTTATATAGGTATTCACAAAATGTAATTCTTCCAAAAATTATTACAAATATTTATAATTTTACGACGGCCGAACTTTTGATCATTTGACATTTGACGAATACGTTTAGAAACATGCTTATACATACTGGCTTGGCTTTAAAAGAGACTTTGTCCACTGTTTCTTTTGCAAATATCATTTTATAACAATATAAACTTTATAACAATATTATGTCCTATGCTTTAATTCTATCTATTATATAGTTTTCATTAACTGTCCGAGATTGATACATTTCACCAGTAAATTAATGACTTGTTATCGAAATAATGAAAATTGAAAAGTATAGATTACTAGCTGCTGCCTGTATTTTATATGCTGTATCGTAAAAAAATAAAAACAAAAAATCTTATATAAAAAATAAAATTTAGGGGTGGACCACCCTTAACATTTAGGGGGATGAAAAATAGATGTTGTCCGATTCTCCACCCTGGCCAATATGCACACAAAATTTCACGAAAATCGGTCGAGCCGTTTCGGAGGAGTTCAATTACAAACACCGTGACACGAGAATTTTATATATTAGAATGAGAAGATTGTTGCCATAGACCTAGATGATACTTTACGCCAGGTTTCTGAAAAACTGATCATCGTAGATGTTAACTAATCAGCTGTCAAATGGCTTTACAAATGTCATTTGAGTTGCTGAAAGGATTGTTAAACTATTTGAATTGATCATTCTGATCATTTAGAAGATCATTCTGGTCAATTCAGAAAGTTTAAGCATTAACTTATAACTTTTGGCAACTAAAATGAAATTTGAAAAGCCATTTGACAGCTGATTACATCTACGATGATCAGTGTTTCAGAAACCGGGCGTATACTGGCAGTTGCATAGCAACCAAAAGTGACGTTACCACGCGGGAAATGTAAACAAAATGAAAATGTGGTTTAGGTGTAGGCCTTTAAATAATGTAATTGCTAATAATTTCAGTCATCTTTTTTTGTTACATTTTCCTAGTTTTATATAGATTTAATAAATGTTTTCTTAGTTCCTAAAATTTGAAAATGGATAACAATAACTTCAAGGACACAGAAACTGAACTTGAATTTTACAGGGTAGATACCTTTTTATTTTAATCTTAAATGATGAAATAATCTTAAAAAGTTATGACGGGAAAATATGTTTAACATCCTGTCGTAAATAACTAATGTGTATGGTAGTTTTTAAAAGGTCGAGCAGTATGTACGTGTAATTCAACTTTTCGTGTCGATAGCAAAACCTAATCAAACGGTATCGGCGCAAAATTCAGCCACAGCGACTGCACTGTCAGCAGTATTCATGCAGTTGGTCGGGCACGCAAGGCACGACATCAAATGTTCGACACAGATCCAATTAAGTACAAAAAAAAATACCCGCTAAGAATATCTTTAGCACCACGTACTGTTTCTCTTCCTATAACTATAAAGTTAAAAATCCGTGGTAGGGCCACCCAACAATCCAGGTGCAGGTCCATCCGGGCCCACTTTATCATAAGATGGCAACGGATGTGTAACCCTACGGGTGTTGCATATGTCAATAGGCGGCAGTTAAAGCCACCTTCTCACGTAGTAAAGTAAATCCCGCTAATGTAACTACCATAGCAAAATTTGCATAATTTTTTTACTTCGGTTCACTGTGAAACGATCTTACATAAACTATGGTTACTTATAGTTAACCTCATGAGGTATCAATTTTTAATATTCAAGCAAAACCAAGCGGTCGTGGAGCAGGAAATCAAAACTCTAATTGCGGATAATCACAAACTTTCTCAACAAGTCGGTGTTCTATTGAAGGAGAAACTTCAAAACGCAAGGCACGACGACAACTTTGACAAGGAACTCGAGGAATTGCGGAAACAAGTGGCCTTACTTACTAAGGTAAAATATTACGTTTATTTATTTATTTAAAACAGGAAAATTATCAGCCTATACATGTCCCACTGCCGGGCAAAGGCCTCTTGTGTACAGAGGGTATCAGCGCATAGTGGGGCCGCGTCCCACTGCGAATTGGCGGACTTCATATATTTTCGAAATATTTTTTTGTTATTATTTCGAAAATATGCCAGGTTTCCTCACAATGTTTTCCTTCACCGCTGAGCACGTGATAATTCAGCACTTAAAATTGACAATTTCATTGGTACTGGCACCGGGGATCGAACTGAGGTTGCTCGAGTTCAATTCAATATATTAAAGGCGAGCGCCCGGACACTGAGCTGTCACGGCTCATTTATTTATTAATTTATACTTTATTCACCAAAAAAAAAATATATATATATATGTACATATACATCAAAATATTACGTTTCATTCTAGATTAATTTAACTTCTACAGGTATGGTGAAATAGGTACTGATTTTAAAATTAATCTTTTATAAATTTAATTAAAATTACAAGTCACAAAACAAGCCCTCCAGCTATCTTCCTCTTGTGCTGCTCTAGTACGGTAGTGTTAATGATAGTTTTTGTTATTAGTTTTGCTTAATTGAAGAAATAAGAATATTTCTTTCCGTACTATAATCATTCGCAGGATAACATTATCTCTTATCCTTTAAACGAGCAATTCTTGTGTATATATATAATCGGAATCACGGAATTGGCTCCAGCGATTTTCATGAAATTTATTATGTGCGTAGAATCGGGGGCGAAAAATCGATCTAGCTAGGTTTCATTTTAAGAAAATGTCCTTTTATCCCTGTTTTCAGGGAATGAAAAATATCATTTGAATATGATAGTAAATTTCGCCGCAAAAAAAAAAAATAATAGCTCGGTCGGTAATCGGGCGCCCCAAAACAGACGGCCGCGGTTCGTATCACGATCATTTACATACTTATTTTTTTTACTATTTTTTCTATACCAGATCATTTTCTTTATTTTTTTTATTTCCAAAATACATGATTTACCAAAAAAAATCGAGTAAAGCTCGGTCCTCCAGGTACTCTTAATTATGATATATCAGATTATAATAGAGCAAAACTTTACTTTAGATGAATAATTACAAATATTAAACAAAAAAACAATTGATCTTTAACAGAAACCTGAATTGAAAAGTAATATATTTACACAACGTTATCTAGCCCTAAACTACGCTCAGCTAAAGCTATGGCTACTAGATAATTAATGAATATACGTTTCTTTTGAAATAAATACATATTCGAGTTATATATCCATTATACCCTAGACATTATAAAAACACAATATTATCCAGTAGTGCGGATCGAACCCACATTTTCTGGCGCAAAGGAAGGGTTCATTATCCACTACGCCAAACAGGTTGTCGTATTGAAAAGACCCCGTATTTACAAAATTAACTAGTATACCTACCGATAGGAATGTAACAATACGTTATTACTCACGGTAGTAACAAATAATATCCGTTTGTTTTTGTTTTATCACTGAACAATTTGCCATTACTTAATGCGGGCTGATAGATCTACTCTTTAAATGTTTCCATTAACGGTGGATAAGTTGAAAACTTGTTAACCAAATAAAAAGATCTTTCAATGTCATCTAATTGTTATTTTTCTATTTTTATTGATTTTCCCTCATTTAGCCAAAATAGACACCGTCGAAAACTTACGCCCTACTCGTATGCCGTGACTTTGACAGCTTATGGCTCCCAAAATTTTCTCGGCAACCAGTAACCGTAAAAAAGCCTTGTAGTATCTCAAACTATAGTTACCAACCACCAATTGCATTTACAAAACTTTTTATTTGTGTGTGTATGTGTGTGTTTAATACATCATTACAATAGTTTTTTTAGTAGTTATCTAAAATGTTGTATTGGATTTTGTAAAGAACCATTTGGACCATAGCCAGAGTTAAATAAAGAGTCACTAGCCTCTCTAGGGTTTTTAAAAAAAGTAAAAAGTAAAATTGCTGAGCAAAGGCCTCATCTGAACAGAGGATATTAGGGCATAGTCACTTCACTGATGTTCAACGTTTGTATATTATCACGGTTCATAAGAACGAACTTGGTGACAGACGAATAGACAGACAGACACCGGAGTCAACATAATATGGTCCCGTTTTACCCTTCGGGTACGGAACCCGAAGCGCGAAAAAGCGAGCGCCCGGACACTGTGACGTCACGACCACAATATAAGGTGATTGACAGTCTTACCATAGAGTATTGTACGGTAAGAGTACCAATCACCTAACGTCATAATCTCAACGTCCAATCACAGAGTGGAGTTACATCCAAAATGACAAAAATGAAAAAAAAAATCAATTTGAGAAAGCATTTAATAGACTAACGACCGGTTTCTGAAACACTGATCATCGTAGACATTAACTAATTAGCTGCCAAAACTCTCTGAATTGATCAGAATTATTTTCTTCATGATCAGAATGAAGCAATTTGACAGTTGATTAGTTAATTTCTACGATGATCAGTGTTTCAGAAACCGGGCATAACTCCTGTTTGTGTCTCCATAATTTGGGTTGACTATAAAGTCTCTTGCAAATGGAAACCCAGTATAAATGTTATTAAAACGCTATTGCATCTAAATAATGTCTGTGACAGGAAAGGGACTCTTTACACGTGTTGTGGCAGACTTCGCAGAAAACGATCGACGCTCTAGATAAAGAGTTGAAAACGTACCAAGTTTACGACTATAGAAGGAATAAAGAGGTAAGTGAGGAAACTGACTATACGGTGTTTTAATGAGTCAAGAAAATATTTTTCCATTCAACACTACTAGCAAAATAGATAGAATGTTTTATATTAGATAAGGAAGAACAGTATTCGGATATTATGTGCAATGAAGTTTAAACAAGACATCAAGCTACTATGGTATTATTCATGTTCCCGTGTTCTTAAGAATTTATCCCACGTAAAAAAAAGGAAAAAAATATTAGAACAGCAAAAATGTGTTATGAATAGATATCACTTTAAAGTGTGATAGAACTTTGACATTATTTATATATTTATTTTTTACTGATTGAATTACGATAGAGTACAACATCGGATGCATTAAAGTATATTTAACAACGATATTTAATATGTTGTGGTGCTATTTAATAACAATTACTTGTATGAACGTGCGGCTTCCATGTTTTATTAGATTTCTGGCTTTTTTAGTCTCTTGAAAATCCCAAAGTATAATATTGTAATAGTATTGGTCCGAGGTACTGTGGTAGGCCACGCAACGGCTTCGGCTGTTGCACGAATGGGCAGGTCCGTCCGTGTAAGTAGCACCACCTCATAGAAGACAGGCGTAAAGTAGAAATGTTACACTTCTGCCTTTCGTCTGGTGAGTGAGGTAGCCGGAGCCCAATTTATTTAAAGGTGGCAACGCATCTGCAACCCTACGGGTGTTGCAAATGTCCATGGGCGGCGGTTATCACTCAACCTCAGGTGTAACACCAGCTCGTTTGCCACTTTCTCATATTAAAAAAAATAGAAGTGCTTGCCCGAATGTTCTCTTTTAAATAAAAAAATTAACATATTACTTTCTTAGACTACTGAAGGGGAGAGAAGAAATTTAGAACTCAAACTCGAAACGTCTATTAACGATTACGTCGAGTTGGAGAATAAATATGGAAAACTAGAAAGGGAATACGAAAATGCACTGGCCGAATTGAAAAGTAGACAAAGAGAAATACAAACATACAAAGAGAGAGGCAAAGATTTAGAAATGAAACTAGAAACCCTGCAGAAAGATTTGGAGGAATATAAAGTGAATCTGGCTGCAGAGAAAAAAAGCTCTGAAGATATAAGGCAGCAACTAATATCGTGTCAAAGAGAAAGTGTCGTTAAGGTGAAAAGAGAAGTAGAAGCGAAATCAAAGGTATATCTTTTAATTTTTATTATAAAACACTATTTAAGAGGACATTTAAAATCACAAGTACAGTAACTATATACTATTAATTAATTATAATATGATAATTTTATTTCTATTTAGATAATCGTAATAAAAAATAAAAATATACACATTTACATAATAAAGAATAGTTATAATAAGTCCAAAACATTTTGTTACACTTTACAAAGATTTTCATCTCGTTGTCGTAGAAAAGTTCTTAATAACGATATAAAAACTAACTAAGCTATGTAGTGCCCAAACCTTGGGCGGAGAAGTTTCAATTTACTATTATATAATATAATTCAGACTGAACTTTACCGCGATTCGTTGATCTTATAAAACTGTCACATATGTCGTTAAGTTGAAAGGGCTTTTAGGTTGCAGAAGCGCTTCAACTCTTCGATATGGTGTCTGCACAGAAGAATGAAGCTTTGCGAAAAATATCGGAACTGACAGGTAAGTGGTAAAAGACCGGTCACGCGTTTATAAAATTAAAAAAAAACATGACGTGATAGAATTAACTATAATTTCTCGTCCCACAATTTCTGATGATCTACGTCTGCCGAAGATAGGATCACAACGCAACTTCGTTTGTATCAATGGGCTTGCTCTTTTGAGAAAATGTCATGGCCTTTCAGAACATGGTCGTAAAGTAGACGTATTTAAATACTCCTATACCCTCTGGTGGTAAGCGCAGCAAATTACCAACCCGACACAAACGCGAACGTCAACAAGCGTCGCCCGCGAAACGTCCTCATCGACCCGGTCGAGGAAGGGGACTTAGGTACGTCGGACCCACCGTCGGGGGTCCCGCCGGACAACACTACACACACAGCTAGTGTAACAACAAACACAATAGTTCGCCCTCGCCTCCGAGCACGGCGAGACCAACACAACGCGTACACAACGTACACCCGCGTTCCAGGGCGGTTCTCACCGCCCCCAGCCACCGATTAGCTAAAAAACACAGTCGACGGCCATCGGGGTCTCGGTCCGCACCGCAACTTCGATGGCCCTTAGATGACATGTCGTAGTTAAATGCACGCATGAGCACATGCGCGGCCCTACCCACAGCGGAGGGCCCAAACCCGTGGGTTCTGGCTAGCCCACCGGTTCTGCGTCAGATGAAGCTTTAATAGTCTCGGGACTGAAAGCAAAAACATCAGTTAATACAAGATACAAGATACAAGAATACTCCTAGTGGTCGAAATTCGACCATACATAATTATACATGGTAGTGTGTGTCATGTTTTTGTTATTGATTTTATGTACTTTTTTATGCATAATTTTATATAACATTAGCATTCTGCACTCCTCTATATAAACTATAAGCGTGCCTAATTTCATACTCCTCCATCCGCGCAATTTTCGTAAAAAGGGATACAAAGTTTTGGCTTCACATATTAATATATACGCTATAATTTCTACTGATGTATGTGAGGGAACTGTATTCCGCCCTCTTAAAGGCTACCGCAACTGAGGCTTCAAGGGAGTGGAGGATGAACATCGGTAGAGTAAATCACTGAAATCTTTTTTTTTTTTGCTTATGCTCAGAAATAAGGCGTGATCTAAGTGGGCATGTACCAGGCATTGATCATCTTGTTAGTTTATAAATTAGACGCAAGCTGTCGGGCCGTTTAGTAATTTGTATGGTTCATCATTTTGTTTTCTAATCTGGAAAGCCAGTTTACTGGATCTATTTAAAGAAATGTTTTATATACACTTCGTTAAATTATCGAACGGAAATTTCTTTCAAATCACTGCTTTACGTTCACGTGAATGCAATATACGTGCACATGTTAGTTATTCAACTAGAATCTGAAGGAAAGTCTAATTTAGAAGCTCTTTGAAATATTAACCGTGACGATGAAAATAAAATTCCAGAAGTGATATCGCAACTGAAGGGAACACAGTCAGGCGTTAGGCAGGAAATGGAGAGAAACTTCAAAGCAGAGATGGACGAAGTGAGAGGGAAGTACAACGAGAAGGTGACAGATATGCTTGAGCATATAAGGAATCTGGACGCAGAATTAGTGGAAAAAGGCATGCTGCTGAATAAAACGCTGAGGTGAGATCGATCACCATGGTCTGAACGTCGAGCTATCGTTTATAATTGGAACATTCCAGAAATTCAAACAACAGTCAGATATATTAACTATAACTTCTAACAAAGACGATAAAATTTATTGAAATGTTAGGAAATTTATAATAGTTGTTGGTAATAATTATAATGTATAGAGATATGTTAGTATTAATAATAATTATAATATATAGAGGCAGCTCGTCAACCTCGTTTAAAATTAAAAAAAAACAATATCTGCGAATACTTTCCGACCGCGTATTATATGGCAAGTTCGAAAAGTTCCATTATTTTATTAGAATCAACAGGTTATCAATTGATCAATCTTTATCAATAGCGAAATAGTTTTCGATGAAATCTGTTCCTTTTAGGGAGAACAAAGTTCTGCAGGAAGCGAACGAGATCTACGCAAAACAGCAAACAGAAAGGCTAAATTCGACGGATCCAAAACTCGCAGTGGCCGAACAAAGACTGGAAGCAATGTTCCAGGAATTGGTAAGTGGTATAGAAACTTAACATTACAAACATAACAAAGCAAATAACTATTTCGCACGAGGGACATTTTGTTTTTCTCCTTCTGGCAGATCTTAATATTTTCTTTTTACACATACTTTCAGATCGTTTATCTCTACACGTTCGTTATCTCAATTTTCCGTAATCTTCTTTCGATAGTACCGCTTGTGCGTTTGGATCTATGAGTTACATAAAGTAAAAGTAAAGTAAGGGCATAGTCCACCAGGCGACCCCACTGCGGATTAACAGGATTCAATCGTCCAAATAATTTTCCTTTCGTATTTCGAAAATGTTCAGGTTTCCTTACGATGTTCCCCTTCGGCAAATAAATCGGTACTTAAAATTGTGATTAACAATATCATAGGCACCAGTACCGGGTGTTGGGCTCTGGCCGTTTGAGTATATTGTATTGAATGCGAGCGCCTGGACACTGAGCTATAACGGCTACAACTTACCTGAGAGTTATTCTTTTATAAAGCTTCCAATGGATGATAAAAAAATAATAATAAGAAAGTTGCGAATGCCTGTTAATTTGAGGGCTAATTTCTCTGTAGACACAGTTCTGCTAAATTGTAAATACTTATAAAATTCATAGTTTTTATTATTTCCCAACGAAAGATATACGTTACTTCTAGCCATAACATCAATAAGGTAGGTCTAGCTATAGGATAATATGGACAACAGTCTGTTTATGAGGCCTTCGTTGCAATTTTTTCGAACAGAGATGTTCGTAAATGATTCTCCTAGAAAAAAAGGTCTTCCTTCAAAGAGTCTTCCCGTCGAGTGGTCTTCCTTTCATAGGGACTTCCTTGATTCGTTCAAGGGTCTATGCTAAAAGGGGAGGGGGGACTTACCATCCGCTGGACACATGCCGTTTTACAAAGAAGCCCCCGTGTTGTCGCGCAGGTCGCTTCCGAACGCCGCAACATCCAACTGGTATGCGAGAAACAGAGTCTAGCCATAGACATCCAGAGGACACAAGACCTGCACAGCAGGGAGGCCAAACGGAGGGACTGGGAGGAGGGTCTGCTGAAAACGCAACGCGACGAACTGAAGTTGGTCGTGTTTTATGAAAAAAGTTTTTTTTTTCTATTCCGTCGTCTCCGTAGGTGTTGGTTTACCCCCCCCCCCCCCCCCCCCCCCCCCCCCCCCCCCCCCCCCCCGGAACATACACCCAGATCCGGAACAACTATCTGTGGGTCACACAAATACTTGTCCCGTGTGGGAATCGAACCCACGACCCTCGGGGCCGAAGCCACTAGCTTGACAATTAACATGATATCCAACACACAATTCACAAAGTACAACCATACTTGGGGACAACTATTATTTTATGTGAGAAGGTAGCAATCGAGCTGCCGATTCACCTGTTGTTAAGTGATTACTACCACCCATTGACATTTGCAACACCCGCAGGGTTGCAAACGCGTTACCACCTTTTAATTATGTGGGCCCCGGCTACCTCACTCACGAGACGAAACGCAGAAGTACAACACAACACTTCCACTTCACGCGAGTCTTCTGTGAGGTCGTGGTACATACCCGGACGTACCTCTACTCGATGTATTACCATTACAAGAGCACTACACACGCAATTCCAATGCTAGTTTAGCTAATCTAATTTATTAAAAAAAAAATTGGTCTATTAAACAAAAAAAACTTTAAACCACAACACTACAGCGCGAACACAGTAATATGTTGTTGAGGTTAATTTTGCATTGTAGACTCCAGGTGGACCACTTACAGAAATCGTTGAAGGAAACCCACACGATGGTGACGAGACTGCAGACTATGCTCTCATCGAGAACGGAACTCAGCCACAAGTATGTTGACAGTTACCTATTCTCTTCCTTTCCTCCTACGAAACATGTTTTTATATTGTATTGGCTAGGCTTTTAGGGTTCGAAGACTCCGCTGTCTGTCTGTCTGTTCGTTTACCTGTCACCAGGCTGTATCTCATGCACCAGTTAGTTAGGCGATTGAAATTTTCAGATGTTACCGCTATAAAAACAAATACTAAAAACAGTACACAACATATTTAAGCGGGTCTCCCAAACAACAGACATGATTTTTTTGCCGTTTTTATAGATAATGGTACGGAACCCTTCGTGCGCGAGTCCGACTCACACTTGCCCGGTTTTCTTATCGAACAACCACCTGCCTGACGTCAACCCTACTCGGGAAACAAACACCCAGATCCGGAACAATTATCTGTGGGTCACAAAAATACTTGTCCCGTGTGGGAATCGAACTCACCACCAGCGACGCGGAAGCCAATAGCTTAGAAGTTTGCACAATTAATTCTATTAAAAACAAAGTGCGGGTCGAACACAATATCTTACACTTATTAGTGTATAGCATCATTACCTATGTAAAAAATTTTCACAGAATGGTGTCAACAAAAGAGGAGGAGTTATCAGAGCTCAACAAACATTTGGAGAGCCAAATGGAACTTAATAGAAAGTAAGTAATATTTTATATCGAAATTTAGTTAAAATCTAAAACAAACTTTCAGACATATATACAAGAATTCCAACGGTCTTTTATCATCATATAAATAGCAATTTCACCAACATTTTATCATTTTGAAATCGCAGACTTCAATATCAATATTGATTTATAAGAATAGATAATGCATTGAAACATTTCAGGTGGAAAGAGTCCTATGTGGACATGACGGTCAAATTGAAAAAGAACCTGGACGCATTATACAAAGAGAACAGCGAATTGAGGTCCAGATTGAACCTACCTAAGGTCGATTCGTCAAGATGTGATCAAGTCAGTTCTAGTAGCTGATGAAAACAAACGGAAAGATTAACAAGTCGTGGATAAACTAAAGCGCTCCTGAGTTGACTACGAGTTGTCGCTCATTAGCACTTTTTAGGCCTAAGAGTTACGTTACTAGAGTACGTTCACAAAACGAAAACTTTGTTCGTAACGATACATGAATTTATAGTGGGAGCGAGAAAGAAAGAGAGTTAGTCTGCAGTGTGAACGGGAAGGCGATAGTCTCCCTCGCAAAGAGGACGACTATCGCCTTCGCTCCCTCTTCGCGTTTAACGCGCTTTATAAATACAGAGATAGTCTTTTTGCTTCATCACTCTAGTGCAATATCAGTTATTAAAAAGATTTTATTATGTTTTTACGCTTTTCCAATAAAATGCATATGATTTTATGTCTCCTTTTTTTCCTTAGACGATTTAATTTAGTTTAAGTACTTTTGACTCAAGCAACCCGAGCTATTACTATAGTTCGAAACACCCAAAAAATTTTCTTTGCTTGCCTCAAAATTCTCGGATCATCCCTTTTTCCTAATGTAAATTAGATTCCATAATGATAATAACAAAAACTCATCGATGCCTTACCGTGAATTAATAAACCAAACAATGTAGTAAACAATTTCATTTATTTCAAAACAGGTAATAATTATATATACAGTACAAGTTTAATTGGACCTTATCGCTACGGAGTACGGCGCGTTATCACGCGGAGACGCATTCGGAGAACATGCTGGGGAACCAATAAAGGGTTTCGTTGTCCTGAGAGTCGATCCACGCCAGACCTTCCTTCACCATGTGGTTAAGCGCGTTCTGGGCACGGGTCTGGTTCCAGCTGCGTTGCGTATAAAAAAATACTTCAGACCAAAGTAACATAGGTAGGTGACCCCGTGCCTCAGTTGCCAAAATATTGGCTCCGGCGGCGAGGTCGTGGGTTCGATTCCCACACGAGACAACTATTTGTGTGACCCACAGATAGTTGTTTCAGGTCTGGGTGTTTGTAAAACGTCATAAATATTATCCTAAGTATGGGTGTAATTTTTTCGAAAGGAATCCTATAATAGAACTTTCTAGGCCGTTGGGACTTACTACCCAACCCCTTCAACAAAAAATACAATACAACAGATAGGTAACTGGCCGATTTATTTTTTCTTCTCCTATGGCAGTAAGTGTGTAAACAACCACCGGTTCGCCTGATGTCCGGTGATTTCCGCAACCACTGGACATCCAAACGCCAACCTTTAAGAGGGTCGAGTTACCTCACTCGGCAGAAGAAATATAGTATATAAAAGATTTTAAATGGAAAATATCGTGAAAAAACCGCAATCTTCACGAAACAATGATTACATATTAAAAAATATGCTCTAATGACAATGGTGACAACTAATACTCTGTACAGATGAGGCCTTTGCCTAGCAATGGCACATATATGTATAGGCTGTTACCTTAGATTAATTTTTCGCGGGCCCTATCGCTTGTCCCACAAATCAATTACGTCACTTCGCGGAATTAATCCGTATGCCAACTGCTGACGGAGAAAACAGATATCACTCTGACACGAACCACGTTATCTCTTAAATTCACCGAAGAGTAATATGAAAATTACGCACCCCAAATCCCCGGTCAGAATGCCGGCTGACACCCACGCGGTGCCCAGGCTATTCGCCTTCTGCAGGACTAAAGTCTGGTCCAGGTTGAGCTCACCGGGCACGGACTGCACCAACCACTTCCCTTTGCCCACTGGGACAACTGTGAACCTGGGAAGTGTGAATCAGGAGTACCGCAGGGGACAAAATGAACGACACTTTATCCGGTTAAACTAGAAATGCAGCTATTTGACAAGAGAGTGAGTGAAGAATAGATAAGTTTGAAAGAAAAGATCTTCTCCGCTCAAAGTTATGGAAAGGTAAAGGATAAGTAAATGACCCATACTATTATTTGAAAGCTAAATTTTGATTAAAGTGGTGTTCGAGTATAACCCTATGTGAAGATGAAATCGAGAGTAAGAGCTGATAAATTTAACCTTTGTTGATGTCGCCGTACGTAAGCGTCGCAGAAAATGTGCTAATCCTGTGAAACTTTGGACACCTGGGCTGATAACAGGGCAACTAGCACGAGCGAAACCGAACTCGCTTCAAAAAGATTTTTTTATAATGATCGCTTCATAAATAACGGAGCTCTTTGGTAACAAACTTAAAAAAGGCATACAAACACTTGAAAACATTTAACTTTTTGAAGATCCTTTGAAAACACACATAATCAACAACTGGAACTTAATTTGATTTCTTTCGGTACTGGGTAAAAATATTAAAATATTAAGCTTTATATTTGAATGGGGAAACGCATTTTAATGAAATGTTTAAGTTAACTCACCCATTTCCAAATATCCTCAGTTTCTTCACCGCAGCCAACAAGTCCTCATTGGTGATGTCCTGGTGCTTCTTCGCCCGACCTCGCGCCGCCACCAGCCTGCCCCTCAACTCGTCCAGAGTGATTAGACCACCATTCTTGTAGTTCGTAGCCAGACACACCTCTACTATTTGCACCCCCAATTCGTAATAGAAGTCGCCGATGCCTGCAATTAAAACGAAATCCTGAAACTTTACATGTTAATATAATTAAAATATAATTAAAATGAATGGCACAGTGTCATTTGAGAACTTCCTCATTTTTTGAAGTTGGTTGAAAATAAAGCACATAGCAATCTTATGCTATACAGCGTGTCGTTACCATCGCGACAATAAATAAACACACATATAGGGGATAACTTTTTAAAGTTGTATTATACATTTAAATTCTTTAAACATCAATATTTACAGAGTTATTAAATTTTCCAAAACAAAGAATTTTATAACACCCTTACCAATTATAAAAGCGTAACGTAAAGTTCATTTGTAAAGGTCACAAAGCATATGAATGGATTGAATGAATTTAAAAGAGACAAAACATACTGTTAGAAGGAGAGGCTTGTAATGCGACGCTATGGCGCGAGTTGTTACAAATTTTGTTTCTTTTTTACTTAATTAGTTTGTTTGAAAAATATTTTTTTTAATTATGGATTTTGTTTAATGTTAATATTTTTTTATGATTATTGGCAAGTAGCGTTAGACGTGTGTTCATTTATTGTCGCGATGGTAACGACAAGCTGTATAATAACAAAGCGGTGATAAATTGGGAATGGAGTAATGTGTACAAACATTTCATCATACAGTGCAATGAAACATTTTTAACAAATATTTAACATGTTATAAATTATGTTTTTGAATACTTGTTAATAGAACATCTCTAATATGATGAAAGTTAATCAGAAGTCACAAGAAGGTTCATGATCTATAAATCTTCAGTAAATTTTATCAGACCTAAGCCATATTTCAGAAACTGAATTTTGTGACTCTAATCCTGGCACTTTTTTAATTCTACTGGAATGTCAATTAAAAAAAATATGAAGCAGCCTTTTTTTAAATTTAGTGTAACACCCAGTTTAAACATGTTAGTATATGTGTGATATTATTTGACTCACAGTATACTTGTTGTGATATTTTCTATTATTCTTTCTATATATGTAGTTGTTATTATTGAATTTCATGGTTTCATTATTCTTTTCCTGAACTATGAAAAAAATGACAATCACAGAGTTTTGCAACAAACATAATATGAGAAGTAATCACAGTGACAACATTTGCAATGCATGTTGTAAAGTCTAACATTCAGTGATTCAACCTTGAAATAAAATGCAAGTGAGAGAATAAAATTAAATTGACTTGTATTTAAATTGACCTATTTTTTATTTATACTATTTTCATAAATTTGATAGTTCATTGAAGGAAATAATACAATAGCTAAAAGCTTTTAAAAACTAAAAGTCAAATTTAAAATGTACAATTTTTTTGAAAATCACCACTTAATTCTTTTTTGTTTTGAATACCTCTATAGTCTATTAATAAATAAAAACCTTATTAAATTAAATACAAAGTCAATTCAAATGTAATTATGATAAGTGAATAAATTTTGTATAAAATGTAAATAAAACAATTTCCAGGACGTCTTCTTGCACCTCATTCGCTCTCATTTTAATTTAATTGTTTTTATTGTATTACATCTTAATTTTCATGGTATATTAGTGATTATCGTAGAAAATTGAGTAGATTTTTGTTATTAATAACATAAAGTATAAATTTTACGAAAATAATTAAAATTTTTAAATGTAGATTTGTGACGCCAATTTGACATCTCATTTTTTCATAATTTTAGTGTAGCTGGAATTCTGCGTTACCAATTGTAAGTATTTAAAACATTTAATTTGTTCTAATATCTATATAATGGATTCTGAACCGCCTGACCCTAGAGGTGGCAACAATATTGTTTCTTCGGATACATCGGATCCTTCAACAAAATTAATATCATTGTCAAGAAAACGTACCCAGGAGGATTCGTCTTATGTACAGTCCTCTAAAAAGATCATTACTGACCCATCCCAATCCACTCCATCTATCCAATTGTCTTATGTCCATCCTGATTTCATTTCAACAAAGACAAAATACTCTGATGAGGACCCTGGTCCTTTCATTGTTCTCATCAATAAAACTGTTAATGACCATTCTGCTGGCACCTCATTGAAACCCATACAGTTTGGCCAATTTCTATTTCGTAACAAAATTCAAAACATTCTTAATAATGGTGTTAAAAAAGTCGGAAGAAACAGAATTTCTGTTCAATTCAAATCAGCCAGAGATGCTAATACTTTTTGTGAACATCCTTCTCTCTCCCTAGCTAACTATGAAACTATAATCCCTTCATACAATATTACTCGGATGGGTATTATAAGAGAGATTCCAGTGGATTGGAGTATGGAAGATCTAGTGAATGCTTTAGAGGTTCCCTCTGATTTTGGCACTGTTATTAAGGCTCGTAGATTGAATAGAAGGATTACTATAGATAATAAAAATTCTTGGGTCCCTTCACAAACTGTGGTTCTTACATTTAGAGGACAAAAACTGCCCTCACATGTATATTGCTTCTATAATTCTATTCCTGTTGAAACATATATTTTACCATCTATCCAATGCTACAAGTGCTGTAGATTTGGCCATGTCACGTCACAGTGTAGATCCAACCCCCGATGCTTCAAATGTGCGCAAAATCACGAAGGTGTTACATGTTCCAAAGAAAACCTTTCATGCCTTTTTTGTCTTGGTCCTCATTCTGCTAAAAATACTTCCTGTCCTGAACATCTTAGGCAGAAATCGATAAAAATGGTTATGTCGCAAGATAACATCTCTTATTTAGAAGCTTCGGCTAGATTCCCTCAAGTGAGGAGATCTTTTGCTGATGCTGCCAGACTAACTTCATCTGTCATTATAGAAAAGGAACCCACATCTTCAAATAATATCCAGAGTTCTTATAAAAAAAACAGTTTCCATTCCCCGACGTCCTCTTTCCCAACCCAATAAATTTGGATTTGACAAACATGCCCATAATTCTATTATAGGAACTCCTTCGTCAGTTCTTCCTGATGGGTGTGCTCTTAGAGAAAAAAAAAGATATTTCTTCAAATGACAATCTTTTGGACTTACTTTTATCTACACTTATAAATATAATCTCCCGTTATAATGATACTGAGCTTCCAATTAATTTAAAATCTAAACTTACTGAGCTTCTCTCCTTATCGGTTAACATTCCCAACCCTCCTTCAATGGAACTGTAGGAGTATTAAGCATAAAAAAAATGAACTTTTGTTTTTAATCCACCAGTACAATCCAGCCATTTTTGCTGTCCAGGAGATGTGGCTACAACCTGGGGCACATTTTAGAGTCCCAGGATACTCATGTCTCCGTGAAGACAGAATTGATGGTCATGGAGGTGCTGCAATTTTAGTCTCCAGAAAATTTACATTTAGTCAAATTCTTCTTCCACCACATAACGAATCTATTAATATTGTTGCAATTAGAGCATTTAATTCTACTATTATATCTATATACATTCCTGTTCCAAGTTTGTCAATACTCACTGAGCTTTACTCTATTATTTCTTCTCTTTCTCCTCCGCTTGTTATTCTTGGAGACTTTAATATTCACCATACATCATGGGGTTCTCACTTTTGTGATTATTTATCTTCTTCATTCTTAGACATATTAGACAATTGCAATCTTTGTGTGTTGAATGATGGTTCTCCAACACGCCGTGTTTCACCATCTCAAAATCTAAAAAGTGCTGTGGACCTGTCATTGTGTTCTTCAGAACTTGCCTCAATTCTCTGTTGGAGTATTTTGGCTTCTACTCATGGTAGTGATCACTATCCTATTCTTATTTCAGTCCCTATACTTAATTCCTTGGATTCTATTCCTAATTATTGTCCCAGACTAAAATATAATCTTGGTAAAGGTGACTGGTCTAAATATGCTTCTTTTACTGATGAATTCATAAATTCTGTTCAACCATTGAGTCCTGAGAGTTTTTTATCTTCTTATTCTGATTTTAAAAATATGCTCATATCTTCAGCAGATAAAGCATTCCCCCTTAAAAAACAATATAAAACTCCAATTCAATCCCCTCCTTGGTGGGATCAAGAATGTTACAATGCCTGCAGAAAAAGAAAGGAAGCTGAAAGAATTTATGCTAAATCCATGACTCTTCAAAACTTTATGGCATATCGAAATGAAGCAGCAAAAACTGTTAAAGTTTTATCATCCAAAAAGAGGGCAGGTTGGCACCAGTTCTGTGAATCTCTGTCCCCTGCCACACCCTCTTCTCTAGTCTGGAGAAATATTAAAAGATTCCGTTGTGGTGTATCGCATAATTTCAATATATCCTCAAATAATACTGCACCGTGGATTGAATTATTTGCTCAAAATTTAGCCCCTCCTATTGCTCCATCTTTTCAGGAATCAATGATTTATTATAATTCCCCTTTAACATCTGCAGAATTTTTTGACAGACCTTTTTCTCTAGAAGAACTTTCAATTGTTTTAGGATCCCTTAAAGATTCTTCGCCTGGAATTGATGGTATTCCTTATTCTTTTATATCTAAAAGTGGACCAAACACTAAAATATTTTTTCTTAATCTTTTAAACCACATCCTGTCTTCCGGTGTTCCCCCAGATGAATGGAAAAAGCAAATTATCATTCCAGTTCTCAAACCTGGGAAACCCAATAATGATCCACATAGTTATAGGCCAATTGCTCTATCCTGCACTATGGCTAAAATTCTTGAGCACTTAATAAAGAATCGTCTAGAATGGATTATAGAAAGCAAAAAAATACTACCTAAAAGTCAATTTGGTTTTAGAAAAGGTATTGGTACTATTGATAGTTTAAGCACTTTGATTACTGATATCCGTATAGCCTTTTCAAAAAGAGAATATCTTGTAGGGGTGTTTCTTGATGTTTCATCTGCCTACGACAATGTTCTTCTTCCTTTACTTAGACATAAATTGCTCAACCTAGGAATTCCTTTGAAATTAGTAAACTTTATTTTTAATCTCCTCTCGGGTAGATGTATCCTTTTAAATAGCCAAAATACTTTTCTTCCTCCTCGATCTGTCTGGAAGGGTCTTCCCCAAGGGTCTGTTCTAAGTCCCTTGCTGTATAATATATACACATATGATCTTGCCCTTTCAGTAAACTGCTTCTGTAATATCCTACAATATGCTGATGATTTGGCTCTCTATGTCTCTGTAGATGATATTTCCATTGCTCAATCTCGACTCAATACCTCACTCTACTATCTCCAAAATTGGCTGAATGATAACGGGTTATCTATATCAATTCCCAAAAGTACTATTGTTATTTATTCTCAACATAGAATTATTCCTTCGGTTAATATAACTCTTGATAATCAAAGAATCCCAGTGAAAAGTGAAGCAAAATTTTTGGGTTTGATACTTGATTCTAAATTGTCTGGAATTAGTCATTTACAATATGTCACCAAAAAATGTGAAAAGAATATTAATATCCTTAGATCTCTCTCAGGAGTTTGGTGGGGTTCCCATCCATATTCCCAAAAATTAGTATACAACGCTCTCGTTAGAAGTCATATGGATTATGCCTCCTTTCTCTTAGAACCTTGTAATAAAGCAGCTCTCAATTCATTAGATAAAATCCAAACAAAATGTCTCAGAATAATTGTTGGAGCTATGAAGTCATCCCCTAGGAATGCTCTCCAAGTGGAATGTGTGGATTCACCCCTGCATTTAAGAAGGCAATATTTGTCAGACAGGTTCATGTACAAGGCATTGCAAAATTATAATCACCCTCTCATTGCCAAACTCCATTTACTTTCTGAATATATATCAACAGGAGGCTATTGGTCTAAAAAAAATTCTCCTTGTCTATTTAATAGTTTTCTCAATTTTCTGCAATTACCCTGTCCTATATACCAATGCAAAATGAATCCTTTATATGATACCCCTTATGAAGCGCTGGTATATCAACCTAGTGTTTTACTTGATATTGGAATTGAGAAAAATTCTAGATTGGCTCCATTACAGTTGAAACTAGCTCTTGATAGTTTTGGAAAGATTGGCATATAATGTACACAGATGCTTCCAAAATGTCTCAGTTGGGGTGTGTTGGAGCTGCAGTATGGTTTCCCAAGTATAAAATAATACTTAATTTTAAATGCCCACCCTATAGCTCAGTTTTTACTGGTGAGGCTACAGCTATACTTGAGGCTATCCTATTTGCAGAATCTCATGACTTAAATAAAACTATCATTTTCACAGATTCTAAAAGCTGTTTGCAAGCCATTTTAGCTAATCTCTTCCGTTACAAACTTAATTTCCCCTTAATTTACAAGATTAGAGCCGCTCTTTACAGGTGTCATATGAAAGGAATATTGATTTCTCTAGCTTGGATTCCTGGGCACAGTGATATTCAAGGAAATGAAATTGCTGACCATTGTGCCAAGGAAGCAATTAAAACTGGCTCCCTATCCCAATATACTTGTTTCTCTCATGATTTATTATCATATGCTAAAATCAGATCAAACTGTGTGTTTGGTATGAGCTCTGGAAGAAATCTAGTAGAGAGAGAGGGAAACACTATGCATCAATCCAACCTGATATTCCAACCAAACCATGGTTCTTTAATTTTCCTAAAGCCAATAAGCATGCCACCTCTATTGTCTGCAGACTTAGACTAGGGCATGTCTGCACTAATGTTCATCTTGCCAAATTAAGAATAAAAGATAGTTCCATCTGTGAATGTGGCCTAGATGATGATTCACCTGATCATATATTTTTCAACTGTCCCAGAATTCCAGGTTCCTTCCATGATCATCTTCCTTCTAGCATCCCTCGTCCATCTAATATCAATAACCTTTTAACATATGTTAATTCTTCATTTGTTTATATCTTGTGTAATTTTATTAATAGTTGTAATATTAAGTTGTGAACTTAGCATAATAATTACAATCTTATTTTCTTTGTTCTAGGTAATTGCTATAATTATGTAAATTTGTTTAGATATTCTATATATAAAAATATACATATTTAACATTCATAAAATCATTCTCTTCATCATTTCATTATAAAAGTTAGGCAAAAATAAACAACCAGAAGTGTTCATTGGCGTATTCATTGAAAACCGCCAAAAAAGAAAAGAAGAAGAAGAAGAAGAAATGTAAATAATAAGAGTAAGATTTTATTGCAACATCAACAGCAAGAAAAAAATTAGATTATAAAAATTACCTAAAACGGACCAAAATCCTTTTCCTGAAGCCAAAGGGTCTACTCCAATAGCAGCACACATTTCTTGGAATTGTCTTCTAAACTGGGCATTCTTTTTAATCTCACTTTTATGCTTTGAAGCGAAATCCTCTAGATTCTCTCTAAATACTTCTAACTGCTTAGACATCTGTTGAAACTGATTTTCCTGCATTACGGACCCTTTTTCCCTATACTTTTCTTGTTCTAACTTTTGTTTTTGTATAGCACCCACTCCTGCACGTCGCCTCATTTTGATAAAATTTATAGTGGTAAAAATATGTAAATCCGATTATTCTAGCTGACGATTTTATTGCTGTGATTTGAATATACAGAATCAGTATAGTTAATATTTATTTATTTACACAGTTTGATACGCGATCCATGTACGGTCTCACTGACAATGACAAGTGAGTGACATTGACAATGACGTTGACGTCTTCTCTTAATGTTATCCTGCAAAAAACTACCGCTTGCTCCCGCTTTTTCAATAATGGAAAAAAAAATTGTGTACATTTTTTTTATGTAACTAGCGGACCGGACAAACGTTGTCTTGTACACAAGACTTTGATTCGACAACTTAGAAATAAATAAATAAAAAAGTTGTAGTGGACTGAATTGTGAATCTAAACCATTCTCGAATCTACCTACAGACACAAAAAAAAATTCATTAAATCGGTACAGCCGTTTAGGAGGAGTTCAGTGACATACACATATACAGAAAAGTTATATATATAAAGATAAGCATAATAAGTGGCTTTGATAGCTAGTCCGAAGAGTTGGACATGTAGATAACTCAGAAAAACAATGTAGCAAGCAGCATCGTGGTTTTCCACATTTCCGCGACCCCAGTTAATAAAAGATAGACGATTCGACTAAATTCCTTGTTATCACCACAAATTAGAGGTGAAACATACAGACGCGGTTCGTGGACACGACAGGTTCGGAAAAGGCTCCGGAGAGCAAATGTAAGATCGGGAATTTCCGCAAAGGCTGTCTCGAGTAACTACATCCAGCCCGGCATTTTCTCTTACTGTGGGGTGCTCGTAGATTCAAGTGCCTTGCCTAGCTTTTCCCAGTCAATCATGATTTTGGCAATGGGGACCGTCATGCCTTTCCAGTCTAAGTATATCCAGAGAATGTACCGGTAACGAGACATTCTTTAAAATAGCTATATCTCATATGTGAAGATGTTGGTGAAGACATCTTCGGGTCTTTCAGGCTTCCTACGGCAGCAAAAACATAGTAGTCCACCTCGCTTCAGGCGAAGAGGGTGCGTCTTTGTTCGACGTTAGTTACTCTTAGTCCCTTATTATGCGTACAACAAATGAATTAAAGACTCATCCGGCTTATATTTCCGTCCGAATTTAACATTTTCAAAGCAAGCCTGAATAGGTTTATAGCCTTTATTGAAGTAGGAGGTTTATAATCCAAGACTGCATTACCAATCCACGTGGTGGGATGGTCATGAAACGGCCAGTTTTTGAGTAAATAAAAAGTATTTAATTTCAACATATTTCATATAGTTACTTAAAAATTTACTTACGTTGCGGTAGCGATTTTGCAGTACTATACGATTTACAAAGAGGGAATAATAAAACACTATCACCAAAAGTGGATTAAATGTCGCTAATAAATTATTATCGAAACCTACTAGCTGAATCCGGACGCGCTTCGCTGTGGCTTCTCACATCACATCATTCCTCTCGCTTCCTGCAATCTGTGGAGTGATTTCGAGAAAATAAACAGAAGTGTGTAACAGGAAGCCGGTGAAGCGCACGTTATTTAATACTAGCTGCTGCCCGCGACTACGTCTGCGTAGAATAGGCTAAAGGCGTAACATGCAGACAGAAAGACAGATATACATATAAATATGTATATAAATTATAGCCTATGTCTTATTCTGATATATAAGCTATATTATTGTAAAGTTTCATTAAAATCCATTCAGTAGTATTTGCGTGAAAGAGTAACAAACATCCATCCATTCATACTAGCTTTCGCCTTTATAATATTAGTAAGGATGGCCAATGAGCGCGCGCGATGCTAGAGTTGGTCGTCGGTACCAACCCATTATGAGTGGTTGGTACTGCCAACCATCGGCTGTGCGCTTAACCTACAGTTTTTTTTAATGAAGTACTAGCGACCCGCCCCGGCTTCGCGCGGATACATGTAAACCTTCCTCTTGAATCACTCTATCTAGTAAAAAAACACTGATAAAAAAAATACTGAAAAACAAATATCCGTTGCGTAGTTTTAAAGATCTAAGCATACATAGGGACAGACAGACAGCGGAACGACTTTGTTTTATACTACGTAGTGATGCTATTATACATATAAACTGATTTCTATCTGCAAACTATATTCATAAATGTATTTACTGTTACTCTTAATGAAAAATGCAAGTGAGTATAATAGTGAACAATTATTTGTATAAATGTTTCAATATTTAGCTTTTTAAAATATTGAGGTTAATAAATAATAAAAAACAAATTGGTCGCTTTACAATTGATTTTTTAATATTAATTATAATAAAACAAATTAATTCATTACACTGAAAATTTATTTGATATTGATCATTTCTTAAATATTTTTAACTGACTTAAAAAAGGAGGCGGTAATTAATTCGGATGTTTATATATTTTTTATATGTTCCGGCATAACTTAATTGCGGAAGGATTTGCAAAATAATTTTGCAAATCCGTCTCTCTATGACGGTCATGTAGATAAGGATTTTCCTTTCATATTTTTTTTTGCGGTTTACTTTTACCTACAGTACTTAGTACAAATAGGATTACATTAAATATTAACAGAAATCAATAGAAAATAATTTGGGGCCAAGGTGCCTCCACTTCTTTGTTGCCCAGAGGCCTCCAGACCTCTAAATCTGGCGCTATTTGTTACCCAAGGAGGGTTAACGTCAGGCAGGTGGCCGGTCGTAAAAAACAGCCTATACCACATGATTCACATGTTGTGCTGACCCCACCTAGATGGGATCAGAGCATAAGGATGATGGTGATAACCAACTAAAAATCTCTATTAGCAATAAAAATTTTATAATAATGCTAAATGTAATAAAATACCTTCATATTAACTAAGTATTAAAATTAAATCACTAAATTAATAGCATTTTAAATGGTGTAAATGTAAATAAAACAAGTACAGAAAAAGTTGTTTTACTAATAATCTTTTTAAAATAATTCACACGTACTGCGATAGATGGCGCTAATTAAATTATTTTGCTGTACAATGTTACGAAACTTTGTAGTTTATTAATTAAATTAACACCCCACATATAGGATTACAAAGTTTTCATATATTTCTAAGTTTTCTTTTTACTCATTACAAAATTCAATTTATAAAAGCTTGACATTTTTTTAATAATTTAATACTAAATGCAGGAGGAATAAATGATTTTTAACATTATAACGGTTTGAAAAACTTTATTCTTTATTGTATATATTAACGTTTTTAAATGTATCTAAAATTTTAATGTAAGTTATTTAAATATTTAAATTTAATGTGCATAATGTACTAAAGTTTCAAAAGGAACCCTGAGTAGAAATTAAATATCTATTTTACGCAAAATCATTACACAGAAATTGTAAAATGAAAACGTAAAAAGAGTTATTCCCCAATTGTTTTATTAAACAGTAAAAAAAAACAAGAACAAAATCATGTGTATGAAAACAAAAAGTAACCATCAGTCATCCCTGGTGGGGATCGAACCCACGACCTTTGGATTAGAAGTCCAACGCGCTATCCTCTGCGCCACAGGGACTGTGATGGTATTGGTTAAATTGCTTTTCATAATGTAATGAACTTATAAAAGTGTTTAAATAAAATTATATTCTAAAATACTTTACTTAAACATGTAAAATTAATACTTCTTCCCTAGACAAAATAATTTTGACTGTTGCAAAGTATAAAATAAAGATTATAATATTATGTTATATTTTATTTAATTTTAATTATGTAATTCTAATGTTAATGCCGTATGACCGTTAACCGGAAATATCAACAAACAAACATATGTCAAAATAATTTTGTTTGGGAAGTTTGAAATTCAAGGTGTAGCAGTAAGTTCAAATCTATAATGTGTGTGAAAAAACCAAAATAAGAAATTTAAAGAGTTATAAAATGGAAAATGAAACACAAGAAGAATCACGGACAGAAAATACATTCATTGTAAAAGACGACAAATCGACTGAAGAGTTTCAAAAGTTCTTTTACGAATTGTTTGAGAAAAATGGTGTTTTGAACGATCTCAGGGCATATTTACGTGGCCATATTATAAATATACTCAAAAGCGTGGAAGAAGGTTTCTATTTCAATCTAAATATGGGAAACAATAATAGCACTATAAATGTTTATTCCCGTATTCGATTTAATTGAAATCATTACAGAATGCTTGATCGGGAGTCGAACCGGGAATAGACTATCAGGACTAAATCATGAAAAATTAGCTAATTTAATATATGTTTAAATTAGCTAATTTAATGCATATACAGCTCTCCCTGTCCCTCATATTCAATGATATCCCATTTTCACCTGCTGGTGTAAGGTAGGATTAACAGTAATTATTTCTACTGATTAATAAAACATATAAGGTTACTTGAAACTTTTATTATCTATCATTATATAATATTAATATTTAATATTATTTTTAAGTAATTTACATTCCTTTGTACTGTTAGTACATGTAATTTTTGTTGTACTTAAAAATTAACTATTCTTTAAGGTGACACATTTATTTGCCAAAAGCACTTTACACAGCGTCTGGAAGTAACTTTTCAAGCTATAAATATGCTTATTGCTGAATATCTTATGCGCATGGTAAGGCCCCTACCTATTAAAATGAAATCAAATTTGATTAAATAATAATAAATTTTAATAATGACTGTAAACTTCATTTCATGACCGACCTTACAAGTTGTTTTAGCAAAAAAAAGTTTTTTTGCAATTATTACTTAAAAATATGCAGGTTACCTCACAGTGTTTTCATTCACCATTGTGCATTTTATATGTCAACACTTAAACCTCCAACTAATAAATTCATTCATGGGAATTTGAACTCAGCTTTAGTATATTGAATTAAAATCGAGCACTCAAACACTGAGCTATCAAGGCTTATTTGTGAAACTCAAAAGTTTTGTATGGATTCTATTGTAAAAAATCATTGACTTTTATTAAATTCTTACTTTTTTATTTTAGTATATTTTATTATAACATTTCAGGACTTCAGTTATAGCCTGTCAGTATTTATATCAGAGATACCCTTGGCTAACATGATATTTGATTTTGCTAAGTCTCTGTTGGGGTGTAAGCCTAATATGCCACAACAAGACATGAGGTTCAAAGATCGAGATGTGTGGTGTGTTTTGAACTACATTGGTGAGTTATCAATTGCATATTTTCATTAATTTCATTTTAATAATTATCACTATATTTACTTACACTAACAAAAGTTACAATTAAACTTTTACATTGTCCCCTTTCCACCCATCATTGTGTGCAATGTTATGGGTTCATTTGGTTTAAAATTTTTGTGATCCATAGATATTCGGTTTCAAGTCTGGATGTACTTTGTGTCTATCATCTTCATTTTTGTGACCCCTATACCGGAAGCACTTAGAACCTATTCTAAGCATCATTTGCAAATAAGAGCTGCATCTCATGAGCTCAATAATGCATGATCATATACCTAAAACGAAATATTGACTTTTTCAGGTGTAAAATGTGATTCGGAGTCTGCGGCAAATATAGTAAATATGTATAGAAATGAAGAAAGACCCCTTCTGATATGTATACTAAAGTGCATCACTTTACATAAAAATCAGCTGGAAGATTTAGGAGGTGATTTTGTTATATTTTTTCGAAAAACAATAGGACACAAACAAGAAGGCAAGAAAGTACTTGCACTTTTAACTCAATGTACTACACGCTACACATTGTAATAGGGCTTTTAATAATTGTTATTTAAACACAAATAATTATATTTTTCACAGATAACAATTTGAAAGTCAGTACTTCCAATAGTTCTTGTTTGTCGGAAGAGGCTAGTATGAATACCACTGCAGGATCTGAAACTTGTACATGCAAGCATCTAGCATTCTGTTCAACTTGCAAGCAGAAGATTAAAGGTTTTCAGATGCAATATAAAAAGAAAAAAAGGAAACTGCGCAAGGTACAAATCAATATCTTGTCTATTTTTTCTAATGTCTTCAAATTAAGTAAATGTTTTGCGTATTGTTTATTAATCTTTAACTTCAAAATTTAGAAATAAGATTAAATAGTTTTAACCACACATAGTACAATCAATTTTAGATACTTATGCCTGGAAAAAGAAACTGGTGTATTTTGCTTGCTTACAGAGTCTTGATTCCTCGGATAGAAATGTAAATGTTCAGAAGTTCCTTAGGGAAGTGGATGTTACGGAGAGAAGTATTATTGATCAGGTGTTTGCATCTTAATAAGGTCTTATATTTTAATCATCCTTACATAATACGACACATACTAAGTAATATATAGATTTAAGTTATTAGTTATTTCTGAATATTATTCAATTGTAATATTAAATTCTCTAGAAAATACGATTGACCTGAAATGAGAATGCTAAATTGAAGTTTCCTATTATGTAATTTAGAACATATTGACAATACTTACAATGTTTATTAGTAAAATTTTACCTTATTCGTTATTAGATATGTTGATTGTCAACTATAGATGCGTTGGTAGAAATTTGTTGCCTCTAAAAGCATTTGTTGTTATGTACTAACGTTTCACTTGTTTTGTAAAATCATTATATTAGTATAAATACGGATATCGGAAAAAAATTTAATGTTGGATCCAGGAATTTAAAAAGTTTGTTGAAAAATAGACGAAAATTTTTTCGACGCTGCTATTGCTGATGCTTAAGGATTTGAACCTGCGTCCTACGAGCCCCTGCCGCTTTAGCCACTGAGCTAAACGGCTCATTCCGGCAAATCCTTGCAGCAGGAAAACTTCGTCCATTTTTGTTCAAACTTTAGATTTTATTTTTAAAATGTATTGCTTAGCTAATCCTTTGCAAAAAATGGACTGGCTAAATAAAATTTTTCAAATTGCACCCAAATATTCTTTAGATGTATATAGTCCGAAAAACGATAAACGACAAAACTGTTACGGTTTCGATCTTCATCTCATTTTTTTTTTCAAGTTTTGAATTCTTTTACCTCTTGTGTCAATGTTCCTTGAAATAAGTACTTATTTTAGACTATCATTTTTCAGAGTAAATCTATTGGCATTCACGCGTACAAACAAACAAACTCTCCATAATTATCATGTTAATAAATGATACTAAAATAGTAACTGTGTATATTTCATTTCTATATTGTATACATTGTTTTTTTGATAGTTTATTTCGCGAGTTCATTTTTAAATAAAGCATTAGTGAATAATATTATAAAACTATTTTTTTTATTATCATTATTTTTTCAGATGTTTGAGCAGCTTAAGGCTGTCTACGAGGCAGAAGTGGATATGGTGCGTGAAGAGGAAGAAAGAAAAATCAAGCGGTCACTTGCGAATCACGCGCTATTGCTGCAAAGGCGTTACGATGAGGTAGAGCAAATTTCTACATCTTATATAATTTTGATAGTCTTTAAAACATAAACATAAAAGGATAGTTCCTAGGTCGCAGATATTAGTATCAGAGGATTTCAAAAAATAAAACAATAAAGTTTCATAAAATTATGGTTACACTATGAACAAATAAAACTGAGTATCATTAAAAAGTTCCACATATCTCAATTTTTGATTAAAAGAAATGAAGAGAAATAGATAATATAATTTAAATATACATATATTGATTGAATGTTATTGTATGATTTAGAAAATTTCCAATTTCTTGGAAAGATTGTATGATATCTATTGGCAATTTGTTAAAATGAAAATGTTATTTTTTTTTTCAAAATATCTTTTCTTCTTTATACTTATTTACACATTATTGCATTACCACTTGGCGATTCACGATGCTATGCGAAATTTCGCAAGGGCGACTGGTATACTCATATTCGATATAGTCGAGGAACATCTTAATAGAATTTCCCTTAAATGAACATTATAATTTCTAGAAAAATATTAACGAAAAGTTCCGCGCGCCGCGGTAATCGAACCCACGTCTTCCAGATTCGCGCTCAGAATGAGTGGGGTTTGTCGTTTCAACAAATTTTAATGTTTCATCGTGTTCAAAGTGCGGCGATTACCACTATAAAATTGTAATTTCAAACATTCCGTTATTGGATCGCTGCTGTATACGAAAACGTCGTCTGCAATTACAGATGGAAGAATCGTTCAAGGCTCGCGAGGCCGAACTGGAGTGCAGCGTTCGGCAGAGGAAGAAGTTCCTCTGGGGCCTGGCACGTGCCTTGAGGGAGCAACACTCCAACATGGCGGACGCCATGAGAGCCGTCCAGAAGGAATCGGAACGGTTGACTGCCAAGGTCGGTGTATGTTGGATATGTTCTTTTTTTTCTTATATTTTATGTGTGTATGTTTAAGTACTTATACAGCGTGTCGTTACCATCGCGACAATAAATGAACACACGTCTAACGCTACTTGCCAATAATCATAAAAAATATTAACGTTAAACATAATCTATAATTAAAAAAAAAATATTTTTCAAACAAACTAATTAAGTAAAAAAGAACCTAAATTTGTAACATCCTATACAACTCGCGCCACAGCGTCTTATTACAAGCCTCTCCTTCTAACAGTATGTTTTGTCTCTTTTAAATTCATTCAACCCATTCATATGCTTTGTGACCTTTACAAATGAACTTTACGTTACAGTTTTATACTTAAGGGTGTTCTAAAATTGTTTGTTTTGGAAAATATAATAACTCGGTAAATATTGATGTTTGTAGAATGTAAATGTTTAATACAATTTTAAAAAGTTATCCTCTATATGTGTGTTCATTTATTGTCGCGGTGGTAACGACACGCTGTATATTATATAGTAGTACATGTAAATAATTTGATGTAATATCAATCGCACTCCACCACGATTTCTCAGGGTTGACTGGGAGAGAATGTCAAAAGGCATTAAGTTCACCCTTTGTAATCCTTTTTATTTAAAGGTAAATAAATATGTGCAATCTTCATTGCCCGACTGCGGCGAAGGAGGGTTGTGTTTGACCCTTTTTTTCTTTTCGTATCGAGGGAAATGAAAAATGATTTTTTATTTGATATTTATTTGATGACTTCGCAGTTGCTAAAGTATTAGCTTCGGCGTCGGGGGTCGCGGGTTCGATCCACACGGGAATAGTATTAGTGTGACCCGTATATAATTATTTCGGATCTGGGTGTTTGTCCATGTGAAATTTATGTATGTAAAACGTCCTTACAACCCAGAATAATGTTATTCTACAATAAAGACCGTGTTTAAATAAATGAAAGAAAGAAAAAAATATAATATTTGCTGGTACCGCAGATTCGGGGCATGTAGTAGCTCCGAATAAATTTAACCTTTCATATTATGGCTTGTAATTGAAAATTAAAAAAAAAATAGTGTATATTTGTTTTACAGGAGGACAGTCTGAAAGTTCAGATATCGGAAGCGGAACAAATGCTGAGAAAGAAAGGCGAGGACATGCGCGACCAGATATCGAGCGAGCTGATCATCCTTGAGGGCCAGCTTAGCTTCATGAGGAGGGAGAGGGACGAGATAGAAAGGGAACGGTCGGAGCTGGAGACCCTGAAGAAGCTCTGCATAGCACCACCAAAGTGGCCATGGACAACGCCAGAGAGAGGGAGCTGTTCCTCGCTGATCACGAGGAACTGCTAGCGTTGAGGAAATGTATGAGAGTGGAGAAAGCCGTCATGACAGACGGCACTGGATCCAGTCCGATGAACAACCGGCAGGAGTTGGAGAGGAGTGCCAGGAGCGAGGACATGAGGACCCCCAACCAGCTAGTGAACGATCTGAAGAAGCGGAAGAATGTGAACTTCGATCAGGTACGGTTCCTATATGCAACCAACGGTCGTTAGTTAGATAACTTTCATAACGACTTGTAGATAATAAAAGGCGTGTACGCCCGGTTCCTATATTAACAAAACGAGGCGCTTGCCTTACGAGCCGTTGCATTGCCTACGGAAAGTAAGTTACTAACGTTCGTTTAATCTACAAGTCGTAATGAAAGTTACGAAGATATGTAACTAACAGCCATTCATTCACTAACATCCATTGAATATAGCTAACTAACTAACTTCACTTGCTCAACGACCCGAATTGGGTCTTGGCTTCCCATACGATTCACTTAAAAATAAATATTTCAGGACATATTTTTACACAACTTTATCCAGTCACAAACTAAGTAAAGCTTTTACTATGGATACTAGGTATCGGAAACACGTTCGTAAAACTACTTTTCTCTTGTAAATACACAGCCTCTGGTGCAAAATACCGGTCCACTAAACTACGCCACTTGTCGTCAAGCTAGTTACAATAACAAAACTGCAAGATGTAAAGTAACAGCCCACTGCTGGGCAAAAGCCTCAACTGTACAGAGGGTATTAAGACGATATTTGTAGGAACACGCTGAGGATTAGCGGATTTTACATATCTACGATTTTTTTAGTTATCATTTCGAAAATATGCAGGTTTCCTCACGATGTTTTCCTTCACCGTTGTTTCAAAACTTTTAGGGCTAAGATATTTGCCTCTTTTATTTGTGTCTTTAGAAATTTATTACAACACAGGGTCATTTTATGAGAATTGGTTTAAAAACAAAATTACCTAGTTTTCATACTTCCAGCAGACCCTTTTTTTTTTTTTACTTTTTGTACACAATTATAATACAGACAATCGAAACAAATGACAAAAACATGTACAAAGGCGAGCTTAACCCTAAAAAGAGTTCTCTTCCAGCAGACCCTTGAGAACACGAAGCCATAATACTAAATAATTAGGTGAAGGTGTCCCAATTCTTTGCGTAATTTGGGACTAGATAACGTTGTGTAAATATGTTTTGAAATATTTCTTTATTAACAACATGATTCACACCTTGCGCCTACCCCACCTAGATAATGACAGATGAAGGAAGAAAGTTCTATCAAAATGGCATGTTTCATTACAGGACAATTTGGAAGAGATAATTCCGGGTCGCAGCCGCGACTGCCATCTTGAATTGCTGAGACAGGAGAATGAAAGACTGAAGGCATTTGCTGACCAGGTGGATGTCACTTACCTTCGTTCGTACAAAGGGGTGGATAGAGACACAAGATAAACGTTCTTTAATAACTTTTGTTTCGTCTGTGTGTTCCCTATCACGACGAAATCGCCTCATAAACGAATTTGCTGTTACATGAACTGTCCTAGATTTTTTTTTTACTTTTATACAGCGTGTCGTTACAACCGCGACATTAAATGAACACACGTCTAACGCTACTTGCCAATAATCATAAAAAAAAACATTAACGTTAAAAAAATCCATAATTAAAAAAACCTTTCAAACAAACAAGGTAAAAAAAGAAACAAAATTTGTAACATCCTATACAATTACTATTGACTGATTCATACATATAGATACTTTTTCATTCGTTGCCACAGCGTCGCATTACAAGCCTCTCCTTCTAACAGTATGTTTTGTCTCTTAAATTCATTCAACCCATTCATATGCTTTGTGACCTTTACAAATAAACTTTACCTTACAGTTTTGAACGTAAGGGTGACCTAAAATTATTTGTTTTGGAAAATTTAATAACTCGGTAAATATTGATGTTTAAAGAATGTAAACGTTTAATACAATTTTAAAAAGTTATCCTCTATACATATACGTGTTCATTCGACGACCCGAATGGCGTAGTGGTTAGTGTACCTGCCTCCTGCGCCAGAGGGTGTGGGTTCGATCCCCACTACTGGAAAAATATTGTGTGATGAACATAGTGGTTTTCTAGTGTATGGGTGTTTATATATCTATAATATGTATTTATTTACAAAATGAAAAGTATGTTTAAGTATGTTTATCAGTTTTCTAGTACCCATAGTACAAGCGTTGCTTAGTTTGGTACTAGAAAATGTTGTGTAAAAATGTGTCCTAAAATATTTATTATTATTTTATTATTTATTTACTGTCACGATTGTAAAGACACGCTGTATATAATAGAAGTGTTTCAAAACAATAATAACCACAATTGAGTAGAACTTTTAAACCATAGAATTTCAGGCATCTCTTGCTGCACCATGTGGGTTGATTGGTAGAGGATGCCTTTGGCATAGCCCGCCCTTTGTCACCTTTATTATATGAGGCAGGCAATAAACAAATAAATAAATATTTTTTCTCGTCAGCAACACCGACACATCGAGGAGTTGACACGCGACCGCTCGCTTCTCCGCTCCCAGCTGGGCGTGGTTTTGGCGCGGCCGAGAACCGCCCCGCCGGCAATTCCCTCCGTTTTGGGGTGAGTTGCATCCTTGTGCACCCTTTTGCAACCTGGTGCACCCTTATTCACTCTTATGCTGCCTTTTGGACCTTTGTGCACCCTTGTGCACTTTTGTACTCCCTTTGGAACCTTTGTGCACCATTGTGTACTTTTGTATTCCCTTTTGAACCTTTGTGCACTCCTGTGTACCCCTTTTGTACCATTTTGCATCCTTGTGCAAATATTAAATAAATGTATATTTTTTAGAAAAACCTAAGAAGTGATCAACTCATTTCCGGGAGCTATTATCATTAATTTATTTATTTATATGTACTCGTATTAAGATTTTCGTAAAAAGATTCGTAAAAAGATTTATTATTTATAATGTGTATATATAGCGTGATTGTTCATTTTTTGGACGATCGCTTTTAATTCAATATACTATGGCAACTTGAGTTCGATCCCCGGTGCTGTGAAATTGTTAATTTTAAGTGCTGACTTATCACGTGCTCAGCGGTGAAGGAGAGCATCGCGAAAAAACCTGCATATTTTAGAAATACGACCAAAATAAACTCGAAATATGCGAAGTTCGCCAATCCGCAGCGGGGCCGCATGGTGGACTTACTTACGCCCTTGTGGTGGTTGAAGTACTTACAAGATATAAGGTTTATAACGTTTGTATTTTGAATAGTCGTAATAAAACATTTCTGCTGTGAACGCGTATTCCGTATTTAATTTTAACATCCCTTTATCCCGTATACCGTCGCACCCTAAGTGTATCCATTTTTTTTAATTAAATTCTAGACATAAATAATGTTATATAAAAAAAATGATAAATATTTAAAATCACTCTTAATTAATGAAATACATTCATTTGAACTTATCTCAAAAAGTGCGTGATTTCTCAAAAAGATCGCGATCATTCATGACCAATACGCACACAAGTTCGTTTCAAAAGTATGCGACGCATTTATGAATGAATACCGCATTGTCAACAAGTTCTGTTTTTTAGGGAATAGAATTGCAATTTTTTTTTTGGAAAAAAATAAAATTTTGCTTTTATTTCGATCAACGATAATACTACCGAGTCTGAATCTCTTGTGTGAATTTGGGCATATTTAGAAAAGCCATCCTGTATAAGAAAGTAAAGAAGTATAAGCATATATATATTCGTCGCAGCGTGAACCCTTCGGGCTCCGGGTTCGATTCCGGCTGGCGCAAGGGCGGCGGCGAGGAGCTGAGCGTTTTCGCCCCCTCGCGGCCTCTGCTGCCGGGGGACAGGCTACCCTTCGTGGGGCTCCTGCCCGACAGGAGATCGGACAACGGACGGTAGGTGTGTGCATGCGTGTGTGTGTGTGTGTGCGTGCGTCAGTGTGTACACACTGTGCGCGTGCGTACGTATGCGTTAGTGTGTACGTGATTGTGCGTGCGTGCACGTTGGTGTTTGCGTACACGTGCGCGTCAGCAGGAAAACATGGAAATATAATACTTTCGCGTTTCGTCTGGTGAGTGAGGTAGCCGGTGCCAAATTTTCAAAACTTTCGGTTGTCAACGCATCTGGAACCTTAGGGTGTGGCAGATATCCATGGGTAGCGGTATTCACTTAACATGAGGTGAACCACCTACTAGGTGGTTTCACACACGCTGTATTTCCGTTACCGCTATAACAACAAATACTAATAAAACGGAATAAAAAAACATTTAAGTGGGGCTCCCATACAACATACATGATTTTTGCCGTTTTTGTAGACAATGGCACGAAACCCTTCATGCGCGAATCCGACTCGCACTTGGCTTTGTTTAATTCATTTCAAAGTTGGCAAGCGACGGAGCGGTTCGCCCGATGATGAGCGATAACCGCCGCCCATGGACGTTTGCAACGCCCAGTGTGGTGTTGCAGATGCGTTGCCACCTTTCAACCACACTCACCACGCGTGATGGGGAAGTGGAACCGGTGGGCCTCTGCGAGGTCGCGGATCTTGAACGGACCTGCCCATTCGTGCAACAGTGGAGACGTTTGTGTGCGTGCGTTAGAGTGTGTGTGTGTGAATAAAAAAGGGTTTACTCGTCGGCAAACAACTGACTCCAATTATTTGATCCTGACGACCCTAATGGCGTAGTATGTAATGTACCTACCTCCTGCCACAGAGGGTGTGGATTCGATCCCCACTACTGGAAAAATATTGTGTGATGAACAGTGTTTTTCTAGTGTCTGGGTGTTTATATATGTATTTATTTACAAAAGAAAAGTATGTTTAAATATGTCTATTAGTTATCTAGTACACATAATACAAGCGTTGCTTAGTTTGGGACTAGAATGTTGTATAAAAATGTGTCCTTAAATATTTATTTATTTGATAAATTTATAACTATCTTTGCGTGCTGTCAATACGATATAATACTGGATATTTTATAATTGTTTATTCTTTACAGGCATTTCATAAAACAGTGGCGTACGCTGAGGCGGCGTTTGGCAACGGATGAGGACGCGTCCCCACAGGCAGGCACGTCACGACAAGGTCAATTTTTGCACGTCTATTAATATAATTATTTAAAGCTAATTATGGCCAAGCTAGTTATATGCAAAAAGCATTTGTAGAGATTATGAGAGAGCATTATGTTATCTACAAAATATATATATATAAAAATTCGGTTTTTAGTTTTTTAAAAGCTAATGTTGCCTAGTAACTACAGTTACTGCCTGTACTTACTACAGTGTACGCATCTACAGTTACTAGGCTAGGTAATGTTCCTGCTACTATGTATTGTAATGTAGCTATTGTAAATGATTTGCATAAATCATTTACAATCATTAGGATTTGATACAATAACTTGTATATAATTATATTTTTTTTTTATGTGAGAAGGTGGCAAGAAGTTAAGTCAATTGCAACACCCGTAGGGTTGCAGATGCTTTGCCACCTTTTAATGAACACCGGCTACCTCACTCACCACCCGAAACGCATAAGTTAGACACTTCCATTTCACACCCGTCTGTGCGGTCGTGGTACTCACCCGGATAGACCTGCCCATTTGTGCAACAGAAGACTGTTGCGTGGCCCTGCTTTCGTACCGCCTACTTTGGGATCTTTAATAATTTTTAAAAAGCTGGCATCTCTTTTGTAATTTCCCCGCTGAAGCAGTTTAGTTGAAAATCTTAGAACAGAACGTCAATAACGTGATGCAAAAGTGCAAATGATTGTATTCCGCGCTGGTCATCTAAGGTAAGGCGTCTGGACTGTCCGGTCTCATCTCTCTTCGAACAGCAGAGGCGGCGTGGCCCTATCACAGTAAATAACGATTTGAGAATCTTCTCCTTGTGCCCTTATCCCGCAATGGTCGGCACATCATCCGGCCGATGCGACAGAGACAGGTGCAACGTGGGTTTTTTAGTGGGTACCCGTTTCTCACCGGAGCTCCCACATACCCCTGCCACTCCCCTGATCCAGTGGCAGGGGATCCATAAAGGATTTTTCCCACGAAAAAAAAAAAAAAAGGGTCGGCACATCATGTCCTTTCCTTCCACTTTTCTCTATCAGCCGTCATCTCAATACTGACCCCTTACACAGACATCATTCTTCGCGCAGTCCATCAAAATCTTTCTCGGCCTTCCTCTAGCTTTGCACCCTCCAACCAATGACGATCTGAGAATATCTTCTGATTATTGTTACGTGCTCCGTGGTGAGGGGAAACATTGTGAGGAGCCCTGCACATTTTTCGTATGACGTCCGCCAAATCGCGGTGAGATCGCGTGGTTGGACCATGCCCCAATGCCCTCTGTACAGGGGTTCTTTGCCCAGCAGTGGGAAATATATAGGTTACATTACTTTTGCTTTATTAGATGACGCAGAGCCCACGCGGATAGCTTGGCCCGTATCACCACAACTCGTCGTTCCGGCAAATGAAACCTTTGGAAGGGCGCAATGCAACCAAGAGGGCGGGTAATTTTTTCTTCGGTATTATATGTTCAAACTAATTCAAAAGTTGATTTCAAATCGATAGATCGGGTAAACAAACACCCAAATCTGAAACAATGTATCTGTCGGTCACACAAATAGTTGTCTCGTGCGGGAATCGAACCCACGACCCCAGGCGCCGGAGCAAATAGCTTAGCAACTGCGCCGCCGAGTGTGACCATCTCGACTTGGTATCTATAGATAGATTTGTTTACTGGAGATAGATTTTTTTTTAATTTTTACGAAGGTAACCAGTAACCAAATCTATCTGTAAATATAACATTGAAACCGGCCATAAATCTGTATAAAAATCTAAGACCGAAATAAGTATGTACCTGATAGTCTTTCTTCTTCTTCTTTGATTTGGCCATAATGGGTGTTACTAAATCGTTTTACAGAGCGCAAAAACAACGAGATACCGCTGCTGAACTGAATAAAATCAGAGTAAAGAGCCCCAAATCTGTATTGCGCGAGGCTAAACAAAAGCTGAGACAGTAAGTGTTTTGGTATCACTTTTAATACGCCAATAAATAATATAGATTTGTATATATTTGTATGCAGTGTTACAGCAACACCATTTTTCGGATATTTCAGTTTCGTAGTGTTCTAGTTTAAACGTTTTCAAAGATGTAATCGAGATCCCATTTTACGATATAGGTCTACATTTCAAGAGTATTAACACATTCATCATAATTCGCTACGAAATCATTCTAAAAGTAAAATACAATAAAAGTGTAAAAAATAACAAATTATTGGAGATACTATTCTCTCCATTTAAAATGAAATTTAAAATTTGTAGACGAATGAACCCAAAGTTTTTCGCTGCAGATTCGACGAGTTTCACGCTGTAGCCACTGAGTTAAACGACATATCCTTACACTCAAGTAAATCTCACCGTATCAAAACAAAACCTATCTTATATCTCACTCACTTCTATTTGATTCTAAAGAGTTCCCCAATGTATCTCCGGGGTCCATGGTCAAATGCCAATGAAATTAATACGGGACCACTTGAGAGCTAACCCGAACCCAATACAAAAATAACTCTTTAAAATCTGTTCACAAATCACCTAGTTCTGAGCTAGTAACCCTTTTCGAAGTCGGTTGAAAATACACACATTAGCTTGCATGTTATGATAATGAAAATATATTTCTTAAATCGGTTCGTAAAACTAAACGTGAAACATTCGTTCTAGCAAGGACAGCGTGAAACGCCAACCGGTCGCGGTGAACCGCGAGAAGAGTCCAAACACAACGCTAAGAGAGGCCAAGCTGAGGCTTCGGAAGCTGGAGATCGAAGCTGAGGCGGCGGAGAGGTCGTACCGGGACTTCAGGAGGAGGTCCCAGATGAGCATCGGCCTGCTAGGGGCCCAGGATAGCGTTCAGGGTCTAGGTGAGGAGGTCCCTAATTCAATTGAGATGATTTCTTCTAGCGTTTGACCCCATCGGCGAGGACAGAGTACGGCCCCTGGGGGGACACCGTTAGGGATGTCGAAAAAATATCGATATTGATTTCACATAGCGATATTTTCAGTAGAAATATTTGGACCCGATATATCGATAAAAAATATTCAATATCGAAAATCGTATCAAAAACGATATTTTTTCAAATTCGAATCCAGCGAATGTGTCGAATATTTAATACTTATGTCAAACACCTTTTTTTGGACGTTGTTTTTAGAAAAGTATCGATATACCGATAAATCTGCAAATATTGATATTTTTATAAATATCGATATACTTGTTCACTTTCGACATTCCTAGACACTGTTACACTTTTATGACATCAAATACTGAGTAAGGGTATTTCTTTTATTATTGAATTTTCACTTTAATTCAAAATCTTTCATTTACTTCGGTTTTCAGATATTCACCGCAGCTCTTCATCTCAAAAATATTGTAAATATGAAAACAAAACCAGCGAGCACGATCTGTACGCTAAAGCAACAAAGGATTTATTGACGAAAGATTTCGATAAGTACTTAAAGGACTATCAGCCTAAACAAGTCATTAGACAATCGCAATTTATAGAGGAAACATTTCGGCGCGTTAGAACAAAGCCTACACCAAACGCATACATAAATGAAACTCGAGACTTAGAAGACGCAAGGTGCGATGTTAACTACTTGGAAACACCTATAACGGAATTCAGAAAACTGTATCACAACGAAAAAAGTAGGCTATCAAACACAGAGAGCGTTAAGATGGAATCGTCCAGTTCGAACGTTCGCCAAACGGAAGCAGACGACTTCAAAACTATTCAGCCTCGAACCGATACGAAAACGGACGTAAAACACATCGATAATGCCGACGAGAATACGATAGTGAACGAAGAACCCGAACGAAGCAGCAGCAAGGAATTTAAAATACTGAAGGACCACGTGAGCGAAATGGGTGATGCTCCGAGCGACCCTATACTTTTTACGCAACAGTCTCTAGAAGCTAGCACTGAGTCTATCGGAAAATCGACAGACGATCGTAGAAACTTACTCAGAGTGCAAGTTGAAAACGTAACAGAGACTAACAGTGTACAGATATCGGAGCGAAATGCCCTCACGATTGTTGTAGAAAGCTCTATGAACACTAATGCCCTCAAAGTAACACAAAATAATCCAATGACAGTGCTAATAAGTCCGCGAGCGAACTCCCCAACAAGTCCACGTGACGTAAACGCAGACGTAATACTTTCTGTCGCCGCACGAACACATCAGTTGTCTCCAGGCCGTTCGGCAAGAGGTAGATACATTGCGAAAACAGACGGGATCACGACGAGCGTCCCATCGCCGAAAGCACCGCGTGAAAACGAAACAAAATCCGCAGATATCTCAAAAGCAAGCAACGCGCCAGAGAAAGCGGCTAACCTAACTAGATACGATGTGCTCGAAGCGATCTTAGATGCGGCGGCGGCAAAAGCCGAATCAAACGTCGAGATAGGTCTAGAAAATTCCAAGGGGGATGGAGACTCCCTCAAAGGTCTAGAAAATTCCAAGGGCGATGGAGACTCCCTCAATGGGACTGAAAGCGACCTGAAGGACTATCCGGATGATTTCTCGGCCGACGTTGACAACTACAATAGTAATTCGGATATAGGCAACTCGCCCATTTCATTCCCAAAGGCTTCAGAAGAGGACAATTTTTGGGATTAGTGAACTACAATATAATCAAATAAACAATAAGCTTCGATACGTTAATAATTTATTTGTCTTAACGTTCGAGTTAATTAAAATGTATATAAAAACATATTTTACACGTTTATCTCTTTTTTTTTTTTATTCATTTTTATATATAAAAGTACAAACATTCATAAATGTATCTCTGTGCATAATATCAACATTCATACATTCCATAATATCCACTTTTGGCAAATTTCACAAAATATATCGTATATAATTATGTACTAATATATAGAATGTCTTGAACTATAAATGCTAATCAACGCAGTGAACGGTGTTATTGTCAAAGTACTCAAACGGAGAATGTGGAATTGGTTTACAAATGCAAAAATATAAAAAGCAAATAATCCTAATGTCCACTTTTCAAATAAAGTATACAAATATAAAAAATGAGATTATTGGTTACATCAGGACTCATTAAAATAATACAACAAGAGCTATTATACAGAATTACCTTGTGATTTGCTACAAATTTACAAAAATTTACTTCTAAAGATAAAGCTATAATTTCGTCCTGTTGTTATACAATTAATTCGAAGTATTGAATTTAGAGGAAGGATTAGATACAACGAAAATGACAGATAAATTTAAGCAAAGAAATAGGTATATTATTATGTCCGATATTATGACGTTATATATAAAAGTACTATTTCGAGGAAAATTTGTCATCTGTAAATAAATGCACACAATGCATGACTTGTAAATTATGATGATATATATAAACACAAAATATCGATAAAACATCCTCAAATACTTTTGCAACCTCTTCACCAATAAAATATTGTATCTAATTTAAGTTATAACGTAATTAAAACCAAATAATCTGTTAATACATACAAGTAACATTTAAAATCAAACTGAGATAATTTTTAATTACCAATAAATTTAGCAGCATCCTACTGTTTCGATTAAATGTTAGTAGTGAGCAGGTTAACTGTTTAACATAACGGGCGTTCATCCCCACTCAGAAATGCCAGTTAGCGCTTAGCCGGCATTAAATTCGTATACATGCGAACTTCAGTTGGAAAGAATTATTGATGGCCGCATTTGAATAACTAACGAATTTCGAATTAGTCTAGACTGCTAGCTAAAATTTCTGAGTGCGGCCAAATGTCTTATCTTCCGTCTCTAATGTTCAGTAGAGTTGTGATATTTGAGTTGGTCATTCGTCTCAGAATCCAAAACTAACATTCTGGCCCATGTTCCTCGTGGCTGTGGCTGATCGCGGAGAATTTGGTCCAGTAACACGGAGCCAGTTTGACACCTGAAATTGGTATAATTTTGCATAGGTAAGATGCAATTCCAAATAAAAAGTAGAAAACAATTTTGTAATAAGAACAGTTTGTCATTAATATTGATTATTTTTACATTGAACTACAAAGTAAAAAAAATAATAAAAAGAAAAATAAATAATTTAGTGTAAAAAAGCGAATGACGTGGATTATATTATCATATTATAAAAAACCCATTTGGAATATTTGATGTCGAGCACCAAAATATGAAGTTATTATCATTGGAAATAACGTGTGCAAATTTTCAAGTAAGTCAGACAGAAGCGGGTGGAATAATTCTTAAAATTTAGTAGAAATAATTTTCACAATGACAGATTTTTTTTATTGAGATAAGCTCTCAAGCAAACAGGCCATTCGGCCGATATTAAGTGAATGTCGCCGCCGATGGATATCTACAACACCAAACGGCTTGCAAATGCGTTGAAAACCTTTAATAAGTGGGCCCTGGCCACGTGACTCGCCGGACGAAGCGCTAAAGTTTAATTCTTCCACTTCACGCCGGTCTTTCGTGAGTCCGTGGTACTTCCCACATACAAGCCGAAGCTAACGAAAGCGTGTTACAAGCGAGCAAAGCCGAATATACGCCGTACCTGAAGCGGCAAAGTTCGACCAGTGTTGTCTTCGCACTCGCGCTTGGGCGTGCTGCAGCGCGCCGCCGCCCTAGAGCGGAGGCCGCGCCCGCTCGCCGGACTGGCGTTGCTGCCCGGCGCGTTGCCCAATCCCACTCCCACGCCCACACCGCACGGGCTGCCCAGTGCGTCGCCCACGATGCACGGACTGCCCACGCCCACGCCGCTATACGGGCTGCCCGGAGCACTGACCCCACCCAACCGGCTAGGGCTGCCCGTCAGCGAGACGCACGCGTTCGACACAGACTCGCCGAGATCCACCGCCGGCCATCTGTCAAGTGTTATTTATATTTTTATTTCCTGCCAAGGACCGAGTCTATAACGTAACAGACGAAGATTTAATATAAAGATAGTTCTCAATAATCGTTCACAATCGCTTCAAAGTTAGGATTACGAAACGCTTTGCTGGTGGTCGAATATTAACCATATTCGGAAAGCGTTTCGTTGTGATACATATAATATTTAATATACATTTTTTATTATTCATAATTTCTATCAAAAAATAAAAATAAATTAATGTATGAATTTTACGCAATTACATAAGTTAACAGTTTTATTTAAGCAATACCTTTAAACTTTCTATTATTTATCTTTTCTTAATGTCGAGTTGTTCTATGTAAGTTTCAATTTTAATAAAAATTAGCCAAAAGCCATTAGAGCAAATTGATTTAATATTACTCGTAAATAATGTGTAATATGGTAATATTATGTAGTAATAATGTGTAATATGGTATAAGAGCATAGCAAGGCTATGCTCATATACAGAGGCGACCTTTCCTCTAGGGGCTAGCATTGAAACATGTACACAGGCTGTTTGTTAATTTACTTGTTTATAATTTTAAAGTCATTACCAATAACAGATACCTATATGGTAAATGTGACCATGTGGCATAGACAAAAACTCACCTCTCCATCTCCTTTGGCGGGTATAGGGCTACCGTGTGCCGCCAGCGATACACGTTGGGGAACTTCTCCAGCGGAACATCGCACTGAATTATCGCCTCATAAACCAATCGATCCATTTTCGTAGGTTCCTCACTGAAACACGAGTAAGTAATAAAACGAAACCCCATCAACAAAGGCTTAAAAAAAATTTCACTCTCCGTCCTTCTTACACACCTCTTTTGCCTCCACATACATACATGTATGATGAGTATGAGCTTGAAAATAATTATGAACAAATTAATACACAATGATTTTATAAAGCCAAGATTTTTTTATGGCCATTGTAATAAAATACATGTATATAACTCGACTGAAGTTTTATACAAACATTAAGTGTTATACAACACAAAATGGATTATTACAGGATTTTTCTACAGTGGGGAGGTTAGGTTGTACAGGTGTTTTACAAACGGCACAGATTCAGAACAAACATAATCCTATATAATTAGTTTTAGGTCATTGTACAAATACATTTTCCTGTTGGGAAACAAACAATATCCGTCGCGTTGGTGCTTTTTATTCGCTCAACAGTTGCACCAACAGTCTGGCGATTATACCAACAAAATACAAATAGCAATAGCTCGTTTCAGACTAATTTGATTTACGTTCGAACAGGGTTCGACAACCGGAGCCGGCTGTCGAACCGTTGGAGGGAGCGAAACGAACTCTACCCGTATATGAAGGGTTCTACCAGCGCGCGATCGCTGGCGTCTTCGAGCTGGTCACCGTCGCCGTTCTCCGAGGCGGTATGGTAAGCCTCCTCGCTGTCGGAATGGCACGAGGCTCCGGAATCGTCGTCCGATATCTGAAAAGAGTATATGACTCTTATTATTATTTCTTTATTCATTTGTTTTAAAAAACATTGCCCTTAATTTAGGCTAACATTATCCTGTGTTGTAGGGACGTTTTACAAACACCCAGATGCGAAACAACTATCTGTGGGTCACATAAATAGTTGTCCCGTGTGGGAATCGAACCGACGACCCCCGACGCCGAAGCCAATACCTTGGCAACTGCGCCACGGAGTCATCATATTGTTATTATTTCAAACACATAGATGAGGGCAAACGCGAACTAATACAGACTATCAACAGAAGAGAGGTTGCCTATTTAAGTCACTTTTTTTATGCAACAAGTGATCTAGTGGTTCAACTGGTGTTTAGTGATAACCGCCACCCATGGACATTTGGAACACCCATAGGGTTGTAGATGCCTTTCCATCTTTTTATAAAGTGGGCTAAGGAATGGAGGAAGAAGTCGTAGCTTTGCTATATCTGGGAATGGACTGGAATCACAAGTATCTAGGAGCTTTTATAGCTTGCCAAAGACCGGGTGAAATATAAGGAGCTACAGCCTTAGTCTTTTAATAACTAAAGTATGAATAAATATGAATATATGTATATGTTATGACTTACTTCGGCTTCAACGACTCTGCATTTGGCTACGTCAACAGTATAGAGTGCACTGCTGTCCCCCGCTGGGGAATTCATACTGATAGGGCATTCGGGCTCATTATGCTGTACTTTGCCATCACCTGTAACAACAGTTTAACTATAAATTAATTTGTGTTCTTCACAACTGGTATGTGTTGTTGACACCTTTTGCGATAAAAAAAATGTATTAGGGTAGGTACACACAATGTGAGACCGTATTCATGTTTAGAGGTGCTTACATGGCCTGCCCATTGCCATTTCAGCTCACTAGCTGTGCCGTTTGTCTACGTGATCATAAAACCAGCTCCCACCCGAGCGCTCACCTATATCCTGGTCGTCGAGGAACATCAGCCGCCTTATGAAGCTGTCGCCCTTCGGGCTGGAGGAGAGGGTCGACCTGTTCCTCCTGAACGAGGCCCTTTTGGCGGCCCTCTCCAGAGGTGGCGGCTCGAAGCGGCAGCGGCACCGCTCCGCGCGGGCCCAAATAGACGAGCACTCCGCCTCGGAGCCGGCCGGGCCCTCGGCCCCGGGCTCCGTCAGCTGTCGGGCCACGAAGCCGGCGAGGCAGCGAGCGTGCCCCTCCACCGCCCCCTAGGGATGTGAAAAAATTAATCGAGCTTTTTTCTCATAATCGATTTTGAAGAACGATTTTTTCAATAATATAATAATATCGATTCTTAATAAATTGATCGTATCAATTTTATTTGTGATCGATTTTTGTAAACGGTGCATGTGAATGTGTAAAGCAGTTTCGTACTTTTCAACAGACTTGATTCCAATAAAACGTTAAGTGGCATTGAATATTTGTGGCAAGATTATTTCAGTTTGTTTATTGCTTAAAGTTAAAAATTTTAAAAACAATTCTTTCCAAATCTTTTGAATTTTTTCCAAATAGAACAAATCGATTTTGAATTAATCGTTTTTTTCTCTCAACATGACATAGGTACCGCCCCGCCGCCGCGCCGCTCCTCGTCCCCGCCGACGTCCTCGCTCCAGGAGCGCAGCACGTCGACCAGCTCCGGCTGACCCCCGCGCCCCAGTTGGGCGGCGACCAGCTGCGCCAGCCGAGCGTGCGTCCGCCCAAAGTCGACGCTAGCGAAGCGCTCGTCCTCCATGTACGTGCTGATCGTGTGCTGCAGGTGCCTCGCCTCTGACTTCAGCCCGTTGGGGTTTGGCCCCGCAGTTAGCGAGAAGACCAGCGCGTCAGCGACCCGCTTCGCGAAGACCTGGCAGGTGCGCTCGATGCAGAGCAGCCGGCTGGCGGTGCGTCCGTTGGCGGGGCTCGGGCCCGGCTGGCGGCAGAGGCGCTGTCTGACCGGGTCCGTCCTCTGCCAGTAGACCGGTCTATCGGAGATCCGGCAGGTGTCCATTGCGGCGCACAGCTCGCTCATGGGGCTGAGCGAGTTCCGGGCCGTGTCGGGCGAGACGCTGCCGACGCTTATCCTGGACAGCGACAGGTCGGGCGATCGCCGCGATTGGGCGCGGCTGTCGCTGTACGCGAACGAGCACGCGCACTCGTACTTCGCTTTCAGGTAGTTCTCCAACAGCGTCAGACCTTCGCTCGTTCGCAAATCGGTGAAGGTGTCCAAAAACGGCCAGTACTCCTTCCAGCCCACTTTCATCTGCTCCGCTAGATTCCTGCAAATGCAAATGTATCAAATAGAAAAAAAAAATGGGTAAACTTAAAACTTATAATTCAAAGTACTGTTGTACACAATCAATACTGATTTGACTTGCATTATCTTAGTAGAATGTAGTTTCCGTTTTCGGGGCCTATCGTCAATATATAAACAGAAAATGCAATGTTTAAATATAAACACTATTTGAAAATCAAGTCAAGTTGGTTTTAGTTTATTTTTATATGAGAAGGTGGCAAGCGAGCTGGCGTGACCTGATGTAAAGCGTTTACCGACGCCCATGGACATTCGCATCACCCATAGGGTTGCAGATGCGATGCCACCTTTCAATAAAGCGAGCCCCGGCTACTTCAATCTACCTAGCCACTATATTACTTCAGTCCACACCATCCTTCTTTCATCATGCCATTCTCTTCTAAACGAAAGCTCAAACTGCCACCTCCCTCTCAGAGTTATCCCATCTCGCCTAGGTGAAAGCCCTATACCTGCTAAGTCTTCTAATGCCCGGTTCCTATATTCAACGAACGGCCGTTAGTCACATAGCTTCGTAACTTTCATAACGACTTGTAGATTAAAAGAACGCCAGTAACTCAGCCCGGTTTTGTTAATATAGGAACCGGGGGCGTACACGCCTTTCATCTGCAAGTCGCTATGGAAGTTACTTAGTTTTTTAACTAACTGCCGTCCGTTGAATATAGGAACCGGGCATTGAGCCCTCTAAAGGCCTCCCGGGTTTGAACCCACCTGCCGACCGTCTCGAGGCCCTTGGTCATCTCCGCCAGGCGGAAGGAGGCGCGCGGCGGCGTCTTCCACCTGCGCCGGAACACGTCCGCGTCGCGCGACGCCATCGGGCCAGCGAACGCGCGGATCTCGAAGCGCGGGCTCAGCGGGTCGCTGTTGATTTCCTGGCCGCACATCACCATCGTTACGTCATCACCATTTGACAAGAATGACGCATATCGCTCACATAAACATCGTTACGTCATCACGTTTTGTTTGACACGCATGACGCACATCGCTTTCACTCGTACGCGCCGGTCGAATACACAAATCGTGGTGCCAACTGTACTTGGCCACACGTGCGCATCAACCTAACGGTTGCAAGTGTACTAATTGGTGAACGGGCGGCATTTTCAACATCTTGATTACTGAATAGTGGCGGAAAGCGCTAAGCCACAGTATGTATAAAAAATTTTTGCACTTAGCCGTACAAGCATATAAATCGTGATGCTAATTGCGCTCGGCCAAACGAGCGGTGGGAAGTCCTGTTGAACATTTTTGCACTTAACAGTACAAGCTTATAATTCGTGATGCCAACTGAACTTGACCATACAAACGGTGGGAAGTCTTAGATTTAGCCGCCACTATCAAACAACAAAGAAAGTTCTTTAAGCCACAGTATAGAAAAAAATATTAGTTCAGTACACTTTGCGGTACAGTAGCGAATAATGTTATGAGACGCTTTTTATAGACATTGTATAGTCCCGTTGAAAAGTTTTGCACTTGACAGTACAAGCATACTAATCGTCGTGCCAAGTACACTTAGCCACACGAGTGGTTTAAACAATCCAACGGGCGCGAGTGTACTAACGGGGGGCGCGGCGGGCGTGAAGGGGCGGCCGATGGTCGGCTCGGCGCTGCCGTCCTCAGAGTGCAGCACCGGCACGTAGAACCGCTCCTGCAGCATGCCCAGTATCCTCCGCGCCACATCGGGCGGGGCGCTGGACGCCCGGTTGCAGATTATCTGCACATGGCGATGGTGTTAATTAAGCGACGCTTAACGCCAAGGGAACGCTGGCGATTGCGAAAAATTACTACGACAATTTATCTACACAGGTCGCCCCGAGGGGATTTTAGTGGGTACGGAGCCCACATAAATTGATTGTCATGTAAGATTGACAGGGTATCTTTTGAAAATTGGGCTCCGGCCACCTCACACACCGAACGAAACGCGAAAGTATTATACTTCCACTTTCTTCGGTCTTCTGTGAGGTCGTGGTACTTACCCGGACGGGCCTGCCCTTTCGTGCAACAGCCGAGGCTGCTGCGTGGCCCTACCACCGTAAAGTTAAAATTAACAATTTCATTGGTGCCGGCACCGGGGATCGAACTCGGGTTGCTCGAGTGTATCGAATTAAAGGCGAGCGCCCGTGCACTGAGCTATCACGGCTGCACAGGACAATGTCACATTAAAGTGTGGGCGATGTTTTAAAAATGTATGGGAACTGCTCTGGGCCTCACGTCCTTGGGCTGCTCGCCGTATTTGTTGGCCGCGAGTGTGTTGCATTGTGGGAAGGCGGTGAGCACGTCGACCACCGCGTCGGCGCCGAACTTCGCCGCGAAGTGCAGCGGCGTCTCGTTCATCGCCTTGTCGGGCGTGTTCAGGTAGCGGTCAACCAGGATCGAGGAGAACTCCTGCAGAGATGTGCACGGCGGCCGTGAAAAGGGAAGTGAAGCAACAGTCAATAAATGTCACGCCAGTTTTTATTTCGGATCCCAAACGGAACATTACACTTTCATTTTCTATAGAAATAAGTATAAAAAAAAATATATATATATATATATAAGTTCAGTTTTCTAAGACGTAATGCGTGCAATCGATATAATTGTTTCTCATTAATGAAATAATAAATATAAATATAATAAAGACTTTGTCCTGTACACACGACTTAAGCCGATAAGTTAAAAAAAATAATTGTGAATCTAAACCATTCTCAAATCGAACTGAACACACATCAATCGATCAATCCAGCAACAATTGATCCAGTCGTTCAGGAGGAGTTCAGTGACATACACATGTACAGAAGAATTATATATACATATAAATATATAAATATAATATTTCAGCTTTCAAAATAACACATAGAGTGCAAGCATTGAACAAATGAAAATATTTTTAAAAAGTCCAAAAGTAAAGTAACAACCTATATAATATGTCACACTGCTTGGTAAAGGCCTCCTCCATACAGAGGGCGTTGGTTTCATTTGAAAGTTTTATAATATTTATATACGAATTAGTTTAACACACTCTCATATGTAATTTATTTGCGTTACATATCTTAAAGTTGTAAGTCCATTAATCAGAATGCCATAATTTAACCAAACAGCAATTAACAGTCCAATTTATCTACATTACATATATTAAAGTCCATTAATCAGAATACCATAATTTAACCAAACAGGAGTACAAAGGCCAAACCGACCTTGCAAGATTCGGGATCCGCGTCCATTCCGTAGAGGGTCTGCACGAAGGAAGGGTTGCCGACCGTTGTCAGGATCAGGTTGCAGATTTCGGCGTTCATCGCCTTGGCTGCGATGTGCAGGGCATTGTACCTCGAACCCTCCTGAAATATTTTTTTTTGTGTGACAAAGTGAACACAATACTAACAAGCTCTATATGACACAATACTAACAAGCTCCAATCCTAGCTAATGTAGGTAGGTATATTATTGAATTATCTAAACACATGAAGTATTCTTAAGAATGGCTACGATATAGTATAATTATATGTAAATAAGTAAGTATTATATGATTATTATGAATCTATTTTTTTTATGTGAGAAGATGGCAAGTGAGCTAGCGGTTCACCTGATGTTAAGCGATAACAGCCGCCCATGGACATTTGCAACACCCTATGGGTTGCAGATGCCTTACCACCTTTTAATAAAGTGGGCCCCAGCTACCTCACTCACCAGACGGAACGCAGAAGTGTAACTCTTCTTATTTACGCCGGTCTTCTGTGTGGTTGTGGTACCAACCGGGACGGACCTGCCCATTCGTGCAACAGCGAACATTCAAAGTATCCTCTATTACGAAGCGAAACGGAAGGGTCCTTCTTTGTTCATTACTGTTTCTGTCATAAGAAGAGGCAACAAAGAGCATGTGACCTCTGCAACACCCAAAAGCGTGTAAATAGGACGAGTTGATGACTCCGTGGCGCAGTCGCCAAGGTAATGGCTTCGGTGTCGGGGGTCATGGGTTCGATTCCCACACGGGACAACAATTTGTGTGACCCACGGATAGTTGTTTCGCATCTGGGTGTTTGTCCACGTGAAATTTATGTTTGTAAAGTGTCCTTACAACACAGGATAATGTTATCCTAAAGTAAGGGCATTGTGTAAAAAAAAAAAAGAAACAAAGAAATAGGAGGAGACATAGACAGTCAACTCACCTGCATGATAGCTGGCGTGTTCCCGCTGCTGACAAGGTAACGGGGATTGTCCCAGATTCGATCCCGCACAGTGCACGCGAGGCCAGACTCGATAGCCTTCCTTAAGGAGACCATGTCTTGGGGCGAGGGGGCCTTGAAGGGATACGGCTTTTCGCCCATTAGGGCTGGAAACAAGAAAAAAAATTCGATATAGCATCGATACTGATGTAGCCGTAACGGTATTTGCAAAATCCCGGGCTCCATCAGTGTTTAAAATGGAAGATATTATTTAAAATACAGACTCACTCCGAGTCATTGATTGCGACTTGCTAAAATTTAATTAATTTATTTTCAACATTTAGTCTGAATGACTTAGGGTCATTAAAAATAACATAGCGGTTGACAGCAAAATTAATGCCAATAATTAATTTAATTTATGTTATACACTGATAAGATAAGTCATCGCGCTCTGAATCCGGGTCCTATGAGTCTTCATAAATAAAGCCGGGCCCAGACGCTGAGTTCATACTGCTCTAATAGCATTAGTATTTAAGTTGATAGTTAATTGAAGCTATCGACACGTCGACCTTGGAAGCGCCGAACCCACAGAAAGAAATGTGTAATTAAGTTTGCATGGCCCCATAAATTACAATTAAAGTTGCTGGGCGTTTCTCAAATTAACTAATTACATTGGCTCAACTTTTTGATGATTTCAAGTACTTCTAACTACAGTTTTTTATGTTTGTTACCCCAAAATTCTGTTGTTAATAAAGCAATTGAAAAATATTTTTGCAATGGGTTTAGTTTAGCTCCCACATGGTTCCATATTAATTTCTTTGGTATCTTACCTTGGACTCAGGAGATATATCAGGGAACTCCTCAATCAAATAGAAAATGTAGTGTGTGAGATATTTGAAATCAGCATTGTTTTTTGTCTTATATACTTATATAAAATGAAAGTTTCCATGTTGAGTATGTATGTATATGTATGTATTAACTGATGTTTTTGCTTTCAGTCCCGAGACTATTAAAGCTTCATCGGACGCAGAACCGGTGGGCTAGCCAGAACCCACGGGTTTGGACCCTCCGCTATGGGTAGGATCGCGCATGTGCTCATGCGTGCGTTTAACTACTATGGTGTGTCATCTAAGGGCCGTCGAGGTCGCCGGTTCGGACCGAGACCCCGACGGCCGTCGACTGTGCATTTAGCTAATCGGTGGCTGGGAGCGGTGAGAACCGCCCCGGAACGCGGGTGTACCTTGTGTACGCGTTGTGTGGGTCTCGCCGTGCTCGGAGGCGAGGGCGAACTGGTGTGATTGTTGTTACACTAACTGTGGGTGTAGTGTTATCCGGCGGGACCCCCGGCGGTGGGTCCATCGTATCTAAGTCCTCTTCGTCGACTGGGTCGATGAGGACTTTTCGCGGGCGACGCTTGTTTACGTTCGCGTTTGTGTTCGGTTGGTAGTTTGCTGCGCTTACCACCAGGGGGTTGGGATGATGCTGGGCTCTATCGAAGAACCGTTTTGTCAAATCTTTAAAATGAGCGCGAATCGTCGGGAGTCTGCAATCGCTGTGCAGGTCGACGTTACGCTGATACCACTGCGCACCGGTTGCGCGGCGGATAAACTTACTTTGTACTATTTGCAACTTGTACAAGCGAGTAGGGTGCGTGTGGGCGAAGATCATACATGCGTAGGACATAATAGGTCGTACGCAGGTCTTATATAATAATAATTTGTGCCTTAAGGGCATTTTACTTTTAGCATTAGTTAAATTGTGTAGCCGGCCGGAGACGAACGCGGCTCTATTACGAACGTTATTAATGTGCGTAGTAAATGACATACGCGAGTCGAAAGTGACTCCTAAGTATTTGACCTTTTTTTCTCCCAGGGGAGCGGTTGGCCATAAAGGGATATTTGCCCCAACTTTCTGCATTGGCGAGGGCCATTATAAAGATGTGACGGGTAGGTACTTCGTGTGAAGTGAATCGCCACACTCTTTTCGGGATTTATTTCTATTCTCCATTTGCGGAACCAATCGCCGAGGCGGTCGGCGGCGCTTTGGAGTCGAGTGGTTAGTATTCTAAGGTTGCGGTCTGAATAAAAGAGCGCGGTGTCATCTGCGAAAAGCGCGAGATTGACGTGGGGGTCTTTGGGTATGTCGCTCGTGTAGAGCGTAAAGAGCAAAGGTGAGAGGCAGGAGCCTTGTGGTACGCCGGCCGTGAGGCGGCGGCTTGTGGAGAGGGTGCCCTCGACTCGATATCGAAAAGAGCGATTCAACAAAAAGGCCCGGATGGTGTGTACGAGCCTATCTGGCACTTTGAGTGTGTACAGCTTGTAAAGCAAGCCGTTGTGCCTTGTCGAATGCTTTTGCGACATCGAAGAAGAGAGCCCCTGTGCTGATGTGTTTGGGGTGGTTTAGGCCTTTTAGGATGTGCTCCGTTAGGCGGTATAACTGGTCGGGACATGAGTGTCTAGCTCGAAAGCCGAATTGTTCCGTCGGCAGAAGGCCGTTGGAAAATACGTGCTCTTTGAGCCTGTTTAACAAGAGCCGTTCGTAGAGCTTCCCCAGGCAACTGAGGAGGCTGATGGGACGATAGCTAGAGGGCTGATTAGCTGGTTTATTCGGCTTGCGAATGCCGATAACCGTGGCTTGCTTCCAGTCGTCCGGAAAGGAGCTGGAGAGAAGGGTATTGAAAATGGTCGCCAGTAAACAGATAAGCGGCCCAGGGAGAGCTTTGAGAATTTTATTACTTATATTATCTGGGCCCGGGGCGGATTTTGGTTTAAAATTTTTAATAATATCTTGGACCTCTTCGGGGTCACTGAATTTAAAGGTTCGCCTTCCGGTGGAAGCGCAGCCCTAGTCTCAATTACGTGGTCCACCTCCGTTAGGTGGACTGAATCGGTGTGTTCGCGCGATGGCGTACATTGCTGCTCTAGGTTGTCCGCAAGGCATTCGGCTTTTTCGGAGTCATCTAGGGCTACTGAAGCGCTATTAGGTCTAACTAACGGCGGTAGAGATTCGCGGGGGTCTGCTTTCAGACTGCGGGCCAACCGCCAGTAGGCGGTGTGCGATGGCTCGATGTTCTCTAGGAGAGTGTCCCACGTTGTGTGGTCGTGTTCCGATACACGATCTTTGACTTCTAGCTGAAGGCGTCGAAGTAGGGTTCGGTTCGATTCCGATCGGTATCGGTCGAAGGCGCGTTTGGCTGCATTTTTCTGTCTAATTAGCAGTCTTAGGTCGGGCGGAAAGTTAAACCGTCGGTCGCCCGACAGTTTCACCGTCCGTTCCGAGTCTGTGACTGCGGAAGTAATAGTTTCACGGAGACTCGCTATCGCTCGATTTGCGTCATCGAACGTAGCTATCGTCTCGGGTAAGTCCACTAAGTCCTGGGGGTCCAAGGCCTTGAGTTTGACCTCAAGACGATGCCAGTCCACGACGGATTTGGTCGGAGGGACCGCGCCGGCGTTCTGGCCCAGTTTACACAGGACGGGCCTGTGGTCTGAGTCTAGTTCATGGATTGTCTCTATCGACTCGATGTCGAGCGAGACCTCCCTGAATAACATTATGTCTAGGACACTCGGTGACGCGTGCTGGTAGTTGTCCACCGTAGGATACCTAGTGAGAGTCGCAGGAGCGACTGTACTGAAATTTAGGTTATCGGATAAGCTAAAGAGATGCTTTCCGTTGTTATTTGGGTTATGCTGTTGGTGTCCCATGAGCCGTGTTTGCAGTTTAGATCTCCTGCAATTATCACGGAAGGGCCTTAGTTAAGAAGCGTATCTAGGTCGCTTTGAAGTAAGGTTTTATTCCCCGAGAGGTAGGCTGAGACTAGTACAAGCGGCCTGTGGCCGGTGAGCGCTAACCTACACGCGGATGCCTCTATTTGACTTAGCTCTGGAATGTCGAGCGGGCAACAGTGCAAGGACCGTTTATAATAAATTAATGTGCCTCCCAGACGGTTTGCTAACCGGTCGTGGCGGACAATATTGTAATTTGCGATTCTGGGATCGCGTACACTAGGTTTCAAGAATGTCTCTTGCACTAGGAAAATATCTACGTTGTAGTCGCGAAGGAATTCCGCGATTTCGTCCCTTTGACCCTTTATGCCGTTTGCGTTGAAATACGAAACAACCAGAGCCCGAGGTTTTGTTCTACCTGCGGTTGTACTTCCCATTAAGGTGTTTTTATGGGTCTAATTAACGACGCGGCGGAGCGCGGTTTTATTGCGCGGACTATTGTCTTTTACGGTTGGCTCGTAAAAGCCCAAAGAGCTTCCACAAGCGTTTTATGTTGGCTTATTGCCCTAAGACGCTCGTTGCCAGATGTGGCGGCCGCTATTTTAGCGGACAATACGGCGAGTTCCTGCCTATTGATCCTATCTAATAGGCTGCAGATGTTTGCGATTTGCGCGATTGGGTCGTCCTTGTTTTCCGCGATAACTGACGGAGTTGGCTGCACCTGCGGCCGCGGCGCCGTTTGAGAGGCGGGCAGCTGTTGTGCGATCGGTCGTGGGGCGACCGGGATTACCGGCGTGGTTACCTGCACGGCCACCTTGGATTTCGCCCAGGCGTTAGTGACGGGTACGGGCGCGGGAACGTATTTAACGGGCGCGGGTTTGGGCAACGTAGATTTCGCGGGAGATTTTCTCGCGGGAGTTTTCGGGGCCTTAGCGCAGCCTCTATAACTAGCCGGGTGGCCAGTAGCGTGACAGTTTACGCAGTCAGGTGGATCTGCGCAATCTTTTGGCCTCGTGCACTCGGTTGTGCCGTGGTCACCGGTGCATTTGACGCACCTAGGGTGAGCGAAGCAATTATTGGCCGTGTGGCCAAAATGTTGACAGTTGTGGCACTGTGCCACAACACCTGATTTGCGCGGGGGCTCGATGACTAAGTCACTGAGCCCACAGACCCTCTTTAGGTTGAAGATGGCCTTACCTTCCGGGGTAGAGTCAAGTTCAACCATGACCATGTCCATAGGGACACGGGTTCTAGGGTGCCTAAGACGTCGTAGTGCATGTACGGGGTATCCCTGAGTGCGGATGTCAACTTTAGCCTTATCGACATCCGACTCTTTGGGGACGCCCTTTATTACTACCCGAAGTTTACGCTCTTCGGGCAACGAGTAAGTGTGAAAACCTACCTTATTTTCGCGTAAATACTTGGTTACGCGGCGGAAATCGTCTGTTGTGTCCAGGTATACGCGGATACCCATGTGTGTATTTTTTGACCGGAGGTCGCGGATGTTATGGCGTTCAAACCACGAGCATACTTGATGCCACTTTGCCTTTTCTTGAATAATTATTGGCGGCGGTGGCTTAATTTTTCGCTCGGAGGCGAATTCGGGTACCAATTGGGCAGCCGCGGCTGCCTTTTTGGCGGACGTTGCGGTGGGACGGTTAGATGGGGTGGCCTCGCATTCGGGGTCGCTGTCAGTTGCGGGGCGTTTTTTGCCCTTTTTGCGCGACTTTACGACGGTGAAGCCGTCGGCGTTCGCGTTATCAGCGGGGGTCGTTTCGACCTCCATGTCCGAGCCGCCGTTCGATTGTGAGTCGGGAACGACATCGCGGAAGGGGGCCGAAAATGGTTGCGCGGAAGGCGCGTTGGGTTCGTTCGCGGCGGCGGAAGTCAACGCGACGGGCGTTACTAGTGTCGCAGAAGGCGACTCATTAGCTGGCGCAGAGGGCACCGGAGATGGCGGCGAGGCAACTGCCGGTGAAGCCGGGTTGTCGCTAGCGTATTCGACGACGCGGCGTTTCTCCGCGGCGAAGGCGAGAAAGCTGCGCCACATTTTAGGGCATCGTTCGCGAATGAATTCCTCTAAGTGGGAACGCATAACGGCGCTTGAACCTTTGGGGCTTGCGCCCCGCCGGCGTGCAGTTTCTAAATAGGCCTCCCCACCTTGCGGCAGGGAGGTGTGTGCCTAAAACTAACAACTATTTCACCTGCGCTTTAGGTGCGCTAGGGTGGGTACCTAGCTGTCGCCTATCGCAACAAGCACACAGTTATTAAATAAAACAAGAAGTGTGTACAGAATTCTACTTACAGAACAGGAACCTGCCTACGAGCACAACACTACACTAACACTAAACTGCAGCACTGCTTGCACAAAGATTTAATTTGCAACCGAAGTTGCGAGTAGCGTCTAATTCGGGTGGCATGAGCCCTCCGTCTTAGAGAGACGTCCGTTCCGTACGAGAGCACGAAGCGGAATGTCCATGTTGAGTACAAATTATAAAGGTGAAGCTGCTTGTAAATAATTTAACTTGTGGAATTCAAAGAAATATAAAAGATAAGATGGTCATTGTTCTCTTTCAGAGAGAGTAACATAGAGATAAAATATTTAGTAAATAATGATTCCTGATAAATCATTGTAAAAATGTATATCATTGTTTATTCAAGTTACTTAATACTACATTTATAGCAGTTATTCATAAAAGTCCTAACACTCAACTAAGATTCTAAGTTAATACAATGAATAAAAACTGTATAAACTTTTTAACTTTATTTTGTACCAAGAAACCCTTTATTGTGAATGGGTGTCGCCATCATTAAATTATTCATACAAAGGTCTCTTTTGAATACAACAAAGCCCCTTGATAAAAAATGCACAACATTATCACAGAAGTAAATAAGGTAAGCACAAAAGTAAGTTATCTTAGCAATCATATAAATGAACACTGAAATGCTTTCCTACAGATAATGTCTGTATTTAAAACTGACAGCAATGACTCACCACAGTAATTACTAACTTAGTACAAGAAGTGTGTATTTTAGTTTAATCATTTATTTGACATAAATTTACAAAAAAATCAAAAACTGAGAAGTGGTTTTTCTAAAGAATAGAAAAACCACTTCTCAGTTTATGTCTTCTAATTTAAAGCATAGAAATGTGAAAGGTCATTTCTAGGCAATTTTTTGTTTTTGCAAATACAGGGATATAATAAATAATGAGAACTTTGTTTTGTAAATATCATCAGTATGACAAATTAAATTGCTATTCCCTTCTGTTTAACGCCTAAATATGCCACATCTTCAACTATTTAGACTTTGTTTCTTGAACAAAATTTTGCTTCCCTATGTAGTATTGATAGTGCATATTTATACTTCATCATCATCATCATTTCAGCCTGTTTGAGTCCACTGCTGAACATAGGCCTCCCCCATAGACTGCCATGAAGTACGATCCTGAGCCACCTGCATCCATCGACTTATTGCACATTTGCAAAGGATGTCACTCCATCTAGTGGGGGGGTCGTCTTACACTGCGATTGTATTACTATTTATACTTACTCAATAATAAATAAACTACAAAAAGCAGATTCCATAAGTTAGTAAAATATAATAATGCCTTACTTGGAATTCCCTGAACAAATAGCAAAAAATTCCAAACAGTATATTTTGTGCTTTTGTACTTTGTACAGTGCAATTGTATCATTTAACTTTCTAAGTAACATATATGTGTATCTTATTTTTGTTTATGTTTAGCCAGAAATATAAAAGGTAATAAGAGATTCTACTATATATAAAATGTATTTCAGAAAGGAGGAAGTACTTCAATGTGGTAGACCTATGTAGTAGCTTCTGCCACGTGAATGTGGATCAGCTCAGTTGAATATAATATATCATGGACACACAGAAAATCAGTATAAGGGTATTTATAATATAGTCTTTCTTCTCCGATTACTTCTAGCTTGACAATGCACCTGCCTTTTGGTAAAACAGATTTCCAATGACACGAAATAACAACTTTTCTTCAGATAATATATCAGTTTGCCACCTTCTCATAAAATAAAAGTGATGCTGAGATAGCTCACTAAATGTTTTTTGTCACCTCAATTCTAATAATTTTAATAAATCTTAGTCTGCTAATTTCTAAAAATCCTATGTATTATTAATGCACATGCTACAACATACTTTAAATTCAAACATTTTCTCACTATATTGTCTACAGTAAAGAAACATTATAATAATAAGAAGTGAACAAAGAAACTTACAATTGCTATTGCCATCAGGCACATCTGTTGGTTCTGCTCCTCTTAGGGCAAATGAAACAGCGTCTTGGTGATTTCTAAACATTTTGAATCTTGCAGATTTGTATCTTCGCACCAATTCTAATGCCTCAGACTTATTTTTATATACATGCAATGCTTCTGTAAAAAATATAATCATTCTTAATCAGTATAAAGTCAAAAAAACCTTAGTTGTTTTTGCTTAAAATTAAAGTAGTATTTAAGGTGCAGTTGATATTGGTCTCAGCACTGGGGATTCCAATTTCCATTCCCCAACAGACAAGTATTTGTATCACCCATAGATAAATTGTATTGTCAGTCAGGTTGGTCGTAAAAATAGTAGGCAACACGATTCAAATGTTGTGCAGACCCTAACTAGGTGGATTCAGGGCAGAAAATTTATATGTAGATTAAAATATATTGTTATTTTCTGAAGAAAGACAGCAATGAACCAACACATCATTAATATTTGCTAAATTCATATGCATAAATATTTACAAAGATGAAAGTTTTCTTGACCTAAATAACTGTGATAAGATTGTAATAGACATGATAAAATGTAGTACCATAATTTACATGTTATAAATTTAAATTCACCATAGAACCACTTTAACAACTTAATGTATAATAAACAAAAAGAAAAAAAAGCTTGAAAACTATATCCATACGATATATAAATAATATGGGTCAAAATATACCTTCATCAGGGCCTTTCTTGATTTCACAAGGTATGTAGACTCCATAATATGTTGTGTTTGCTTCCGTAACAGTAAGACTTTCTGGAGTGCTGTTTCTTTTGCTCAAAGTATCTAAACGAAGTAGTCGACTAAACAAACCAATAGCTCCGTCTTTTTTATCAGGTGGGGAAAGTGAAATCTCTTCTTTTATGCCCCCAATGTCTTTGCTGCATCCAGGAATTACTGCCGCCTTAGACATTTTAGGGTTACTAAAAATAATAAACAAAATAGAACCCCTTTCTGTTTGTGACGCAGACGAACACTAAAAGTTTATTTTTAATATTCCAACTTATGTTTACCTTATCAATAAAGGGCGTCATAAAAACATATTTACAGTTGGCTACAGACAAATATTCCTAACTTCAACACATATTTCACAAAAATAGAAGAACATTATATTCACATTCAAATGTGTAATTGTGTATTTGAATGAAAAAATAAAAGCGTTATTAGAATCGAATGATCGGTGACGTTTTCATTTGACGTAGCTATGGTGTTGCACCAAGAATACAGATTATTAATAATGTTTATAATAAATATATTTCTAGTAATGATTTCTAAGCCTTGCAAAGGGTTCAGAATCGTAAGTGATAGTAATAATTTTTTTCCATTAGATACAATTCTAGTAACTGGGCAAATAAAAGCTATTGGCTAAAATAAGCTAAATATCTAGTTATTACAGTAGGACTTGATAAAGACAACACATTAGCACTACAAACAATAAGAGGCAGTACATCCATCTCTTCTGGCACAACTCACACGAGCGTCTAACAAAATCACATGCATACGCCCTACAATGACATGCAAGTGTCTCTTAACTTTTAAAAACAAACATATGCGGCCCTGTCCATTGTCCAAATTCCCTAGAGAAGGTAGGTAATAGAGAATAAATATCCATGCAAGCACAAGTCAAGTTTTAAAAAATTGACATGTACACTATGTCAATTTTTTAAAACTTCGGGATCAATCGCGCACTCCACGAACTGTGTATCCTAGACGGCGAGGCCGGATTCACTATTTTATAAACTTTTTGATTTTACCGACAACGAATACGCGCGTTAGTGCGTTAAATAATTTAATTCTCCCGCTGCTAATCATGTGGCCGCAGTAGGCTCTTGAACGGGTTATGGCTGAAATAGTGCCATTGCACTTAGATGGCACTTAAAACGGCACACACAGCGTTCGCTGGCATCTGCGAGGTCCCTGATTCGCAACCTACACAAAATGCAATTATCATGTACCAGGTGTTGCTATTGTTATTTAATAGCGATTGATAGCTACTTAAGTGTCCGGGCGCACGCTTTTAATTTAGAATATTTGATCAATCAGAGTTCAAATTCCGGTACTGTCGTCGGGATTTTTCAGGCGCTGAACGGCGAAGGAAACCATCGTGAAGAAACCTGCATAATTTTGAAATATGCAATAGTAAACAGCAGTGGAGGATGCATGGTAGTCCCTTGGATCGTTGTGTAAGACAACAAAAACAGTTTTTACGTTACCGTTTTGTCGTAATTATATATAGATAATTATAATAATAATAAAAGATCATATCGACCTTTCTGGAGGTAGTTTGGCCGCATTCAAAATGTAAATAAATAAATAATCTAAATAATTAAAGAATCTTTAAATGTGAATATTCTAAAAATTTAAGTTCTAGTTTTTCTTATTTTTTATCATTTGTCATCCATACCATTGTACTTTTATAAACATAAATAATGCTAAATGACATATAATTGTATACTTCAGATGCCAAGTGTATACCTAGTGGTGAAAACATTATTTGCCCACATATTATTTGGGTGTAATTGTACAATTTATTTTATGTAAGCACTGTATGTTTTCCTAACCAATAACATTAAATTAAATAAAAATTTTTGAAGTGTATAAATTTTGTAAAATGTCTAATATTAGTGTAGCAAGTAGGTTAATATGTCATAATATATTCATATAAAGTGTAAGTACCCGGAGGACCGAGCTTTGCTCGGTTTGTTTTTTTTTTCTAAATCGTGTATTTTGGAAATTACATTTAGATACAAATTACTGAGTAATGAAATATGCATAATATTTTTCGATCTTACCGACTTAATAATAAGAAAATATGAACTGATGTTTTTCACAAAAGAAAGAACTTTAAAAAAAAGGGAATAAAATAACAAAAAAAACAAATCGACAAAAAATTAAAAATAAAGAAAGAAAATAAAAATAAAGAAAAATTAAAATAAATAAAGAAATCTGGAATCAAAAAAAAAGTAAAAAAATAAATGTGTAAATGATCATGACGCGAACCACGGTCGTCTGTTTTGGGGCCGCCCGATTAGCGACCGAGCTATTATGACATTTTCTCTTGCGGCGAAATTTACCGTCGTATTCTAATTATATTTTTCATTCCATGAAAACAGGGATAAAAGGACATTTTCTAAAAATAAAACCTAGCTAGATTGATTTTTCGCCCCCGAATCTACGCACATACTAAATTTCATGAAAATCGCTGGAGCTGTTTCCAAGATTCCGATTATATATATATATATATATACAAGAATTGCTCGTTTAAACGATAAGATATGTTTTATAATAATAATATAGTATTAAGGAATTTATAACAGTTATGGTTATTTTGGTGCCATTATATAAATATTCTTATTTCCAAATTTTCATTTTCATATTCATTCTTAACCTTAGCCAATTTATTGATAAAATATAATATAGACAGTCAAAATAATGTCTTTATTCACAATGTAAAAGTTTTGGCTTTCCTTTTTTTCTTATTAGTCTGTGTTACATTATTAGCCTTAGGAACATTAACAGAATCTAAAGTTTTTTGAATAGTAAAGGCATATAAGCTTGCATTTATTTTCTTCAGTGTATCCAATTCATGTTGAAGTGCCACTTCTTTATTTTTGAACTCCAATTCTAATTCTTTTGTAGGTTTAATCAGTTCTATATCTGCATTCTCAGGTTTTGACCAAAAATTAATCTTTTTGTCTACTAATACTTCTAGTTCAGTTATTTCATCTCCATCTTTTTCTAATGTCCTCTCTAAACTGTGGAGAACTACTTTTGGTTTGAAATCTGATTTATGAATTGCATCAAAATTGAGAGTGAATAATGCATTTGTAATTGGTCCTTTATGCCGTATTGTTTTAATAGGTTGTCTACTTTTTATATGCCACAATATAACTTGCTCATCATTTGAGGCTGACATCAATGTTTCACCATCAACTGAAACTGATAGAAAGGTAACAGCTTTTGTATGGGACAAAAATGTGAGGTTGTTATCTTCTGAAGATATTAATAAGTCTCTATTTCTCACTGGATTTGTTAGGCTAAATTGAGAAATGTTACCTTCGGATGTACCAACAAATATTGTCAATTCTAATACATCCATTGCTACTGATGACAAGGGTACATCAAAAACTAAATTTAATAACATATTTCCCGTGGTCAATTCATATATTTTGCATGTTCTGTCACTAGATACCGTACAAAGGCGTCCTAGTAAGCCAGTTTTGCTAATACAAAAATCAGTCACGGGTAATGAGTGATCAGATATTATGTACACTGGGTCATGTTGACCAGCAGTTGATTGGGTAACTAGTTCAATTTCTGGATGAGTAGCAATAGCTGTTAACGACCACACCATAACCATTCCATCTTCAGCTGAAGAAACAAAATACCTTCCGTCATTGGTGAATTTAATCAAATTGACCTTTTGGTAATGTCGATTTAAGATCGTCAATAAATTTCCAGATGCCGTCTGCCAAAGGTAGATTTTTTCATCGATGCCAGCAACACAAAATGAACCGTCCTTACTAAAAGAAAAAGCATTAGCTTTTCCGGGTAGCACAAATCGCATGCCTTGAACGGTCTGGTGTGAATTTAACGGCCAAACATGAAGAATAGGTTTATTCTTTTCAACAGCAACTAGATAATCGTCGCCAATAAATGAAAGTGATTTCATTTCAGCCGTTCCACCGCCCTTATAAGTCATCAAGCTTGTGCCGGTATGAGGATCCCAGACACAACAAGTCCACATAGTATTATTAGAATCACTCGTCACTAGAACTTCCAATAAATTAGACATGTTATTGTTTTTCTCTTTGATTTGTTGTATTTAAACCTTATTCTTCAAATGTTCTTATTGATGAGACTTCTGAGATTCAACAAATCGACACGTGCCTTTCTCGAAAATGTTTTGTTTGATGTTGACAGTTGACACTTGAATTCAGTGTTGCTTGTTGCCATCCTGGCAAGTAACGCAGAGTACATTGAATGTAACATGAAATTTTAAAATAAAAACACGTTATTAAGAAATATTATATAATACAAATTTAGAACATTAAATTTTTAACGTCATTGGTCAAAAATGTAATGTTCTAAATTTGATTAAAAACATTAAATTCCTGCTATTAAAATTAAATAATTCTTTAATATAATTTAACAATTCTACAAGGTCTGGAATGGTTTTCATGGGAAATTATTAAATTGTCATGTTAATTCTGTTAATACTTAAAAATTTTTTTTTCCAAAAATGGTAATATACGTATCAGTCAGAAAAATAATGTTAGGCACAATTATTTTTAACTGTCATGGGTCTAGGATCTATCAAAAAAATTGTTCTATGGTTCGTGGAATTATAATTGTCAGCGGTGCATTTTAACCAATAAAAAAATGTCTACTTGAAGTTTATTGGTCAAAGCAAAACCTTGTAATATTTTGACAAGTGTCGAAGTCTTTGTCGTTAGTGTATAAAATTGTCGGTAATTTTGTCAAGTTTAGTTTGTGAAATACTGTGAGTTTGTAACTCTACAATATGTTTAAAAAGTAAGTATTTTGGCAATTTTTAATTATTGATGAACAAAATATTCTTCTTTTAAATAACTAAATCTATAGGTTATACAGGTTCGCGCATAATGTCAAATATGCTATTGACGTAATTCATCGCGAGCCAATCATAGAAGCGGTTGAGTTTTTAATTTTGTTGCCAGACTCGTAACTAGTGATGTATTATCAATTTTCTGCCAAGTTGCAAAAGCTTAATTTTATAATTGGCAATTTATCGAGAATAATACCATAATACTTTTACCAATTCGGTAATTTTTGACATTGTGCATCTAGTTTTCATTTATATTTTTCCTTGGTTCGTAAAAAACCTATCCGTGTTTAATGTTACATTCAACAAAGGGAAGGAATTTAATTTAGCTCTTTTATTTATTAAATTAGGGAAGTCGTTTTTCTTAAATATTTAAAAACATATAACATAAAATTATTCAAAAACAGTTTTTTTTTCATTGCAAAAATATAAATCGATTTCATGCAAAATATCATAATGATGTGGTCATCACTAGTGTTTTGATGACGCGACAAAGGATTGTGAAATTATTCCAGTCGAAGGGAATGTTGTTTGAGCGAGAAAGATATATTTGAGAAAGAAATTAGATGGTGAACGGACGGATTCGGTCGGCTGTCGTCGGACGTCGACACTTCGAAGTTCGCCGTTCAGGACAGTTCTTTGCAGCTGGTCTAAATTGATTGTTGTTTTACAGTAGAGTTACGCTTTGTCTGCTATAAAATTTAACTTTGAAAAAGTAAATATTGTGTTTTGGAGTTTATATAATCTAGTTCAAATCAAGACAATACATATTGTGCCCGTCGTGTTTGTATTTCGTGACGTAACTGGATTTTTCACACTTCGAAAAACTGTTCCTTCGTATAAAGCGAAGGTCGTGTCGAATGCGAAATCCTATCGTGTAGTCGATTGTGTACGACGCAACAATGTGGGAAGTGGACTCTGACACGGGGTCCCACAGCGCTTCGTCGGATGGCCTCCGACATCGGCAAGGATGGGATCCCGAGGCCGAGAGTCTCGCTTCTCAAATGGACGAACTTGACGAAGTGCTTGCCGAGGAGGAAGAAGGCTGCCCGTTGCCGTCTACGCCCGAAGACCAACATCTCTTAGACGCGGAAATGGCGGAAGTCTTGAAAGCTGGCGTGCTGTCCGACGAAATAGATCTCGGAGCGTTGGCTCACAATGCGGCGGAGCAGGCGGAGGAGTTCGTCCGGAAAGTTTGGGAAGCCTCTTGGAATGTTTGCCATTTCAGACACCTGCCACGGTGGCTGCAGGATAACGACTACCTTCACAAAGGGCACAGGCCGCCACTACCCTCATTCAGCGCATGTTTTGCATCAATATTCCGTATCCACACCGAAACTGGTAATATCTGGACTCACCTGCTAGGATGCGTGGCCTTCATTGGAGTCGCTATCTATTTTCTTTCGCGACCATCTATTGAGATACAGATGCAAGAGAAAATGATCTTTGGTGTGTTCTTTATCGGTGCTATAGTGTGTTTGGGCTTTTCTTTTGCATACCACACATTGTACTGTCACTCTGAAATGGTGGGCAAGTTGTTCTCTAAGTTGGACTACTGTGGTATAGCGCTTTTGATTATGGGTTCATTTGTTCCTTGGCTGTATTATAGCTTCTATTGTCATTACAGACCAAAAATAATTTATCTATCTGTTGTTATTGTGTTAGGAATACTCTCAATTATAGTTTCACTGTGGGATAGGTTCTCTGAACCACGCTTGAGACCTCTTCGTGCTGGAGTGTTCATGGGATTTGGTCTGTCGGGCATAGTACCTGCAATTCACTATGGTATAACTGAAGGTTGGTTTAGCCAAGTTAGTAAGGCATCTCTAGGCTGGCTTGTTCTAATGGGCTTGCTTTATATTATGGGAGCTATGTTCTACGCACTGAGAGTGCCAGAACGCTGGTTCCCAGGAAAATGTGATATCTGGTTTCAGTCTCATCAAATTTTCCATGTGCTTGTTATTGTAGCAGCATTTGTACACTACCATGGAATAAGTGAGCTTGCTTCATATCGTGTGACTGTTGGAGAATGTTCAATGCCCCCCTCATCAATTGCATTCTAGCCTCATACCACACCAAATGTGATAGTAGACCATAGATATTTTTTAAGTAGAATACTGTTCAAAGATTTCTAAGTTTTTTTACTAAACTTTAATTTCCCATATTATATAGTTAATTCTGTAAGATAGAACTAAATATTGTCTGACTACCTTCAAAGTAAATTTTAATTGTTTTGTTTGAGCTTTGAAAACACCTTCAAAATTAATGGTGTTAAATTGCAATATAATGAAATTAAATTATTTGATAACCTCAAAGGAAAATAAAAATACCATGGATAAATTTGGGGCTATAAAAGTGTGTAAAAATATTATATATATAAGAACTTATTATTTATTTGTTAAATTTAGATAACTAGATTGTAGCAGTTAACATTATTTTGTTTACATAGATTTGCACATTGAATGGAACACTTAGCCTTTCAGTACCTTTTTTGTAGTACTTAATTATTTTATTTTTATCTATGGAGTATTGTTGCACCCTCTGTAACAGACAAGTTTCTTATTGTAATCCAACTTTTTCTTCCAAGGTAGGTATTAATTACTTGTATCTTTAGCAATATATCACCAATTATAAGTGTTATTTATTTTCCAAAAAAGTCAACACTGTGATTTTGGTTTTTCTTACCTAAAATAATATTACACTTTCCTTAATGACTGACTATGAAAATTTAAATATGACTATTTTAACTGGCTTCACATATTATTTGTTTCTTTCATTCCTCACATCACTTGTTATTAAATTTTTCCAAAGATATGTTTTCTTGCATCAAGGCCATTGCATCCTATATTGTCTAAGATATAAAATTTAAAACATAAATAGTAAGCCATTTTTATACTGTAACAAATTTTTTATACATTCCACCACATTAAAGGTAATCTGCTAGTGTGCTGAAGATGGTAACATTTATTTCTTTATATTGTTCATTATAATATAAAATTCTTATAAATATGGAAAACATTATTTTTTCTCGGTCTACATTATTCATAAAAGTATGATGAATTGAAAATATATTCTAAATTGTTGTAAGTGTTCATAAGAATAAAGATTTTATGTAAAATGGAAAAAAGAAGGTACTTACATTTACAGAAAACATTGATGAAATCTATTTCATGTGAATACACATGTTATTTGTACTGTAGAAAAAAAAATACAAATTGATTACTATTTTTATTGTATTAATAAAATTAAAACTAGGATAAATTTGTGTTTTTGTGCACTAAAAGTAAGTTTCATGGAATAGCAAAATTAATTTGTGAAAGATTCAGTTTGTATTATTATAAAATGTATTTTGGAATTCAATTTAGGCATATCAAATCAAAAGATATATTGAGATAGCATTTTGGGTCTGACCTGGACTGACAATGAAAGACAATATTTTTCACAGATGTTTTTATTGCAATCTTCAATTTATTATCTGTATACCTTTTGTTGTCAATATATAAAAAGAGTTAATTGTTTTTACCAATGTCATGTTGTTGAAATTGTTGCTTTCCATAAAAAAAAGAGTTGCTAAATTTTAAATTAAATTTGAATAATAAATTTGTGTATGGTTTAGAATTGGCCCTTATTACTTATTGCTTAAAATTTGTTATTCATATATTTTGTTTTTAAAGATAAAAATATGATATTGCAATAAAGAATAAGAAGTATAAATGTGTTTGTTTTACATTCAGTAATCACAGCAAACCTTGAAATTCTCTTGTGTTATTCTGAACCAGGTTGTGAAGTACATAAAAATTATATCTAAAATTTGTTTAAAACTCAGTCCTTGATCCATAAATAACAATTTACCTTTGCATGTCAAATACTAGACACTAAGTTTTTCGAAACATGGGGTCACCTAAATATGTAAATTTTACACTTATCGTGAAGTACCCAACAAATCGCGTGCCTGCTTGTTTTTACAAAAATTGTTGCATGATTAAAAACATGATACCTTATGGAGTAGGTAGTTTGGTATTTGCTGGTGCCAATCGATTCCTCATGATCTTGTCGGCGGAGATAAAAGCTGAGAATTGCCACAAGTTATAAAACGTTATAAAGTGTTAAGATTTATTAATTTATAATAGCCGTTCTTCTATGCTTATATACTTCTTTGTTCTGATAAACAGGACATCTAAAAGTAGTATCCGTGGTAGTTTTTATTTGACGCTCAAAAGAGCTTATTCAGTTCTATTCAATACTGGCGACCCGCCCCGGCTTCGCACGGGCGCAATGTATTAAACATATAAACCTTCCTCTTGAATCACTATCTAGTAAGAAAAACCCCATCAAGATCCGTTACGTAGTTTTAAAGATCTAAGCATACATAGGCACAGACAGACAGACAGTGGGACGACTTTGTTTTATTCTATGTAGTGATAGACTATATATATATAAAAATGAATTTCTGTTCGTTAGTCTCACTAACTCGAGAACGGCTGGACCGATTTGGCTAATTTTGGTTTTGAAATGTTTGTGCCAGTCCAGGGAAGGTTTAAACGATGAGAAATTATGGAAAAATTGCACGGAAAATCGAAATAGCAACAATTTTATTTTCCCATACAAACTGTTGCGATCTGTCAAACATTTTATTCAGTCAAAAAATTTATTTAGTTTTATTTAGACAAATATTAAAAAATCAAAAATTAAAATTTTATTTGGTCAAAAATTATTTTTCTATGTGTTCAGATTCAAAAATTACCTAGAAATAATGTATATGGCAAAACAACGTTTGCCGAGTCAGCTAGTATTGAATAAAGAAAAAGAAAGGAATCTTTATAGGGTCACTTTGTCCGCCTGTCTGTTTGTCGTATCACTTATGACCTCCGTTTGTCAAGAACTAATACTGCTATACTGGAAAATAACAAACGTAGACATGAACTACTACGGTCACTTACCGATGTAAAAAAATATGCTTCGTTGTTGAAATCAAAACAACACTCATAGTTCACGGATCTTTGTGAGTTTTTACGTTTATCTTCAAATCCAAGCAAATTAGATGATTAAAACGTTTTTGTTGTATATTTTTACATTTTGAGGTACGTAGTTAAACGTTATTGACTCATTTACATATTTTGAAACAATTTAGAGAAATCAGTTTAATTTAAAGAACATACGTGTGGCGGGAAAACTTATATCGATATTGTTGTTATTATTTGTCGCTCGTCTGTTCAAATGTAATTATGTACCTGCCTTCCACGCCGCGCCGCTCTGTCTCAATTTTACAGAGCTTAGTGTTTTGTCTAGCTTGGATACCTACATCGCAAATACGTAAGCAATGCTCTCTACGTTTTGGTGTCTTAAGAGAAATCGTTTCTATGAACATACTACATGAGTATTCGGAAAATGTCGAAAGACATTTTATATTCTATTGTCTTTCTGCCTGACTACTCTTATATGTATAATAAAGACGTAGTGATCAATATCTCTATTCCGCTATTCAATATCCCTACAATGCATCCAAAGTATCAATTTGATCTAAATGGTTCCAATTTCTAGCAGCCGTTTAACACATACGCATTCAATTGCCTGTTATTCGTGTACGTATAATACTCACACAAACGTGTCATTGCCACCTGACCCCTGCTTGGCTTCTTAGTAATTGATGGCTTTTGTAGATGAGGTACAGCTAACGCAGTGTGTATCGAAGTCCTGTGAAGAAATAAAATTTGTGATACCATTATTTCTTATTTCGATTGTTTCGTGTATATTCTTTTAGTTTAACTGCCGAAGATGCGTTTTTTTGAACACTCATCACTATAAATCGCTACCATCTCGTTGGTGGGCAGTCCACGACTGTGCGACTTTTACGTAACTTTCTGCCACGGACAACCAAGCTGTGGAATCAGTCATCGCCAGGGGTATTTCCAGACTGATACGACTTAGGGACCTTCGAGAAGAGAGCCTATTCCTTCACTAAAGCCAGGAAACGCATTTGTGACTCCTCTGGTGTCCATGGGCGGTGGTGAACAACTACCACCAGGTGACCCGCCTGCCCTTTTGCCCCCTTTTCCCTTAAAGAAAAATCGTCACGGGGGGATCTATGTTGCCTGATGCTTTATTTTATGAAATCATTATTTAATGCTCGTTTAAAATTAAAGATAATTTTCCGTTTGCAATGATCAAGCTAAAAACTCGAAAGGTTTTTAGCATGTCGCGTGTACGTAAGAAATCTGATAAAATGTGTAATTCGAATCTCTTGAGCCAGGAGCCAATCACCAATCCTCGCTCCACAAATGCTTGCACGTGATATATCTCATACTACATGTCTCATACTATTGACCCACTTCTTTGACACCGTCATATTTTACAGTAGAAAGTTCCTCCTGTCATCTATTTTCATTAACCGTCGTCCGTAGATAGACTAGCCGCGATGTGCACTTAAAAGTGAATATGGAGTCTGGTAATGATGATCTTAACGAAAATTTCGTTCGTCATTTTTTTTAATGTAGTATCTATTACTAAAATTTTTATTTATTTTATTCTTTCTTAAATTTAGTTTTGTTGTGTACGTCCTTTTTCTCTTAAATGAATTTATTTTCTTTCTTTCATTTTAATTTCCTAGTGGTGTGGTACGGTTATAGATGGTGATGACCACACGAAGGCGATAGAATGTGTTAAGACAACAAGGCAAAAGAACAAGTGGTTCACCTACTGTTTAGAATTGCCAAATTTTCTGATTAAGAAACCATTTTCAAAGATTTAAAACGGAAAATTGTAACGCACTTTCCCTACCACTTTAACTGATTGCCGGTACAAGTTTATGACTCTTAAAATTTCATTGCTTCATTGTGGATTCGGGACGGCAAACTTAAAATAGGCTTGAGAGGTCAGCGAACTAACCCTGGCGTCACGTTATTGCATTACAGAGGCTATAGGTGTAATATTAAGGCTATGGAGGCTATTAGAAATGTTAGGTCAACGTGATTTATTACACCAAGCGAATTACGTTTAAGCAAACTCAAACTTAACTACATTACGGCCTTTTTTGTATTTAGCCAGTAACGGATTGTAAACACAGTCCTTTCCTATTTCTTAGTTACTAACGAATAACGAATACTCGTATGTATCTTCGTATTTCAAATATTCTTATTGGCGATGCAATTTTATTTATGAGAGCATGATTTATGAGAGCATGTAGATATGACACTAGCGCACAGAAATTGAGGCACTCAAATTACATCTATTGGTGTAATTATATAGACTGCTATCTCTTTCCGTATCATACATTTTATATCATCTGTCACGTTCAATTACATATGCATCATCTTTATTATTACACGTCATTGTATACATATATCAGACTTGCGGATCGACACTGCAACGCGATTTATATTTTTTGCCCGTTACACGAAATTCCACCCGTAGAGACTTACCGGCGCTACCCACAGCGGAGGGCCCAAACCCTTGGGTTCTGGCTAGCCCACCGGTTCTGCGTCAGATGAAGCTTTAATAGTCTCGGGACTGAAAGCACAAACATCAGTTAATACAAGATACAAGACTTGTTCATTTTCAAAAGTGTACAAGTGCACCTCGTTTTGTTCTTTGCTTCTCCCCACTGCAAAGTCTTTGTACACTGGTTTAATTAGTTCGTCTACATTTTTGTTGTGATTTTGCGGTTTTCGAACTTGAAGTTCAATGTTCTAATTTTCGTAATCCGTTAGATTTCATATATTTCATAACTGCCGAGTATTCGACATAAATCATGACATTTTCACTCTCGGCCATCAATCCAGTCGTATATGAATAATAATCAATAGATACGAGGTTTTGTGGCTTTGTGGCTACAAGTAATGTACTCTATTGATTTTAGCGTATATGCGAAGTCAATTTATGGCTTCAGCTAGTTATCATGTCGGTTGTATATTACTTTTAGACATCTTTTACGATCTTTACTGGCAGTGTTGTTACGACGCAGCTAAAGTATGTTTTCTCATTTTAAGATCGTTATAATTGAGCGACATATATCAATGTATTACTACATATTAAGATGATAGTTATGCTTCCAGGAACTAAAACACCTTTCGATAGCAAAAGATGCCACATTAAAAGCATATCTCGAATTATATGCATCACAAACGGCGTCCAATTGGTGTTCGCGAAGTAAAAAAGTCTTATTCAGCTTACTTACACAATTTATAAACTTAGCAATACATTTCTGACGTACCACGTTTTTTTTAACAAATAGACTTCACCTATTGTTAAGTGAATACCGTCGCTCATAAGTCCATAACATTCGTGGAGGTCCATTTGCCTTTCCAATATTTAGGAGAATGACCTGCGATGACATCACTCATCAGACGAAATGCTACAGTGTAAATAATTCTAAATAACGCCGGCACAGCCTTCAGCACCTTCTCATATGAGCCAATCCTATATGATGGATGCCGTTATTTGACAGCAGATGTCAAATAACGTACTGTCAGAAATACGGTATAAAGTTTCGCGACGATTGTCGGTTGGTTTTACTTTTTTTTTAAATAATTAGCGAATCTAGTTCACGAGGCTACGATAAAGCCTATAGCTGAATATACTGCAGTACCAATTTAAGTATGGAACTATGCCAAGAGTTTACCGATACTTACGTTTTATATTTTTGTTCGGAGGTTGAAATTTTTTATGCCGATTACAAACAGACGTCACTATATTTTCAAGTGATATTTGAGGACTGGTGGTTTCCCCAGTCATCGTTAACTTTTATCATTTATGCAATGTTTGAAGAGGAAGAGATTGCTTTACCGCTTGACTAGACTCACTTGTCACTGATCATGGATCTGTTAATTAAACTTCGTTAACTACGCACGAAATTACAAAAGTTCGTCGTACGTTTCTGATATTTTTAGTTTCTTGGATCGATCTGGTTCCGCCGCCCATGGATCTACACAATACATTTAAAACAGTAGACAACGGCTACCTTGGTCACCAGTCAAAAGACTAAAGTATAATAGTTCTACCTACACTTTTATGAGGCCCTGAAACTTCTTCCAAAAAGCTTGCCCATGCATACAACGGCCGAGATTAAACGGCAGTTAAAAGAACTGAATACA